TTAGAAAGAAAAAACAAAACTAACAAATGTTATAACTACTAGAGGCTAATTTCAGGCATTGATATGATATTGTCTGGTCCATATACTTCATTTATGTGTGTTTTCATTTAAATTGCTACATGCTACTGGACTCAAGCCTGGTTCAAAATTCAAATGCTTTGTTACATGTTTTTTTTTTCTTCTCAATTCTTTCTATCACACTTTGTTTTAATCCCATTTTTTGGATATTTACATTCAGAAATTAGGTTCTTGACTTACACTTGGCTATGGGCCTAGCTTTGAAATTTTTTTTCCTGACATTGAGTCTCTTGTTACACACTAATTAATATCTTGGTCAACTGTTCTACTGACTGTATTAAGCTTCATTTAGAATCTTGTTTTAGTTGGTTGTATGGATGCATATTTTATGTACTATTCTATCAAAGGTTGATAAAATTTAGGGCATGTTTAGGGTTTAGGGCAGCTTTGAAAATTTTTTTCCTGACATTGAGTCTCTTGTTACACACTAATTAATATCTTGGTCAACTGTTCTACTGACTGTATTAAGCTTCATTTAGAATCTTGTTTTAGTTGGCTGTATGGATGCATATTTTATATACTATTCTATCAAAGGCTGATAAAATTTAGGGCATGTTTACTTCCAGAAGAAAAACATTTTGTTTTCAATTCCTGTCTTTACTTTTAATTACAAAAATCACTTTGTTTTAATTTTATTTTTTGTTCTCAAAGATTTGTATAAGAAACAATTAAAATAATTGAAAATAAGAAACAAAGTGACATTTTTGTAGTTAAAGTGAAAATAGAAATAACAACTAAACATTTCACAATCAGACAGGCCCTTAGAGTTTATAATACATCAATTTTTTTCCACTTCAAATGTGATAAACCTTCACATACTTTTTCGGCAAATTTTCAGGTTGACATTGACTTTGAAAAGGAACCAATAGGGACCGGGAAGGATGGAAAGAATATTTACTTAAGGGATATTTGGCCATCCACTGAAGAAATTGCAGCGGTAAAATGATGTCTGTGAAATTTACTCTAGAGATTTGACTGTGTACAGCAAAATTAACTTCTCATTACTTGATTCCTAGGCTGTCCAATCCAGTGTGTTGCCTGACATGTTCCGAAGTACATATGAAGCTATTACCAAGGGTAATGCTATGTGGAATCAACTACAAGTTCCTGCTGAGACCCTGTACTCATGGGACCCCAACTCAACATATATTCATGAACCTCCATACTTCAAGGACATGACCATGGATCCTCCTGGCGCTCACGGTGTGAAAGATGCCTATTGCCTGCTGAGTTTTGGTGACAGTATCACTACTGATCACATTTCTCCTGCTGGAAGCATTAACAAGGACAGTCCTGCTGCAAAATTCCTTCTAGAGCGTGGGGTGCAACAGAAGGACTTCAACTCTTATGGAAGTCGTCGTGGGAATGATGAGGTGATGGCAAGGGGAACTTTTGCCAACATTCGTCTTGTTAACAAACTCTTGAATGGGGAAGTTGGCCCCAAGACGGTTCACATTCCAACTGGGGAGAAGCTTTATGTGTTTGATGCAGCACAGGTGAGTGATGTACTAAATAAGTATAGCTTAGTGCTTTGAAAAATTCAAGTGATAGACTGTTTATTTCATACGATATTTTCTGGCCTGATCTTTCCTAAATTGCTTTCCATAATTTAAGCCAACATCTTGTTGAAGAAGCAAATTGTTGCTAAATTTTCTTTAGCATACGCATTAGGGTGTGAATTCTCTTGCTTCTGTGTACTCTATTCACTCGTGCTTATTAAATAATTGAAATAGTAAACCACAAAATCAAAACTTATTGCAATGTCTATAAGGCTTGTTATTGTGACACTATCTCTCCATTTATTGTACCTCGTCTTTTAGGAATGAGGACACCATTTCGCTTGACCATGGATCTAAATTCATTGGGTACCTAATGGAATAATGTGAAAATGACAATATTCTTTTCTTTTTGTTCCTCCTGTGAAAAGAAAGTGGATACCTTTGTGCTAGGGAATGTGATAAAAGTCGTTGATTTTAGCTCTACCGAGTTTCTGATCCCCTGGAATTTTTTCCATGTCAGAGATACAAGTCTGCAGGGCAGGACACCATTGTGCTGGCTGGAGCTGAATACGGTAGTGGAAGTTCCAGAGATTGGGCTGCCAAGGGTCCCATGCTTTTGGTGAGTCCTTTATATAGCCTGTGATTTGGTTTTCTTCCTATGTTTGAGATTAATATTCCTAACGTACTTGATGACGCTTACATTTTTTTTTCAGGGTGTCAAAGCTGTGATAGCTAAAAGTTTTGAGAGAATTCATCGTAGTAATTTGGTAGGAATGGGTATTATTCCTCTTTGCTTCAAAGCTGGCGAGGACGCTGACACATTGGGATTGACTGGTCATGAACGGTTTACTATTGATCTCCCAAGTAAAATCAGCGAGATAAGACCCGGCCAAGACGTCACTGTAACAACTAACACTGGAAAATCTTTCACGTGCACAGTTCGCTTTGATACTGAGGTAATTTAAGCTGCCCGTGTTGATGCAAGTTTATTTGAACTGAGGTCTGTTATGGGGTTTCTTCTGTCTTGAGCAACTAACGCCCATCCCATGTATTTTCAGGTGGAACTTGCTTACTTTAACCATGGAGGCATACTTCCATATGTCATCAGGAACCTCATCAAGCAGTGAAGTCATCGTTGAAGGGAAATGTTAAATGCCTTGCCGCTGCCTGCTGCATGTACGTACACCTTTCGAGTGGTAATAAAATGTACGGGAAACGAGAGTAAATTCAATAAGTTGGGAATATGCCTTCTGCCTTCTTAGGAAGGCAAATTTTTTGACACTTCAGGTGTTTATATTAGACCAGTAAACATCGAATGCACTGGTTATAGATTTCTTATTACTGTGCGTTGTGTGCCCATTGAACAATGGGGACAATTGTATTTTGAACTGATGCGATCCACGCCGATGGTGGTGAATATTCTTTTAATTTAAACATTCCACTTAATTTTCGTACAACTGTATTGAAATAATGTTTACTAATTTTTTGGGTGTATATTTTACACTATAATCTATTAACTGTCCCTGAAATTGCCAATGTAGTTAGACAAAATGTCGAACATGAGCTGAAGTGGAAGATCATTGAGGTTCTCTGTCAAATGAGAGCGATGCGGCCGGGAAAACCTAAAAAATAAAATTAGATTTGCAACTTTTATGTCAAATATCATTAATTCCAAATAGAAAATAATAATGTAAGAAATATGTATGTAATATTGCTTTTACGTGACCTGGTAAATGATTGTAACTTTGAATAATTAGGTTCTTGAAATGGAGAAATAATTCCCCAAGAGTCTAACATGTTTAGAAGTTACATTAGAAAAGATAACATTTATTGACAAATTTTATGTTTTAAAAAGGAACAAATCTGATAGTTGAGAAATATCCTTAATTATAATGAAATACACTTATCTGACAGCCTATGGTAAAAAGATTATATAGAATTAATATTTTTGTTGAGTGATTATTTTTATCTCACTGAAAACTAATTGTGAATGACCTATTGCTTGATATCGAATGTTCATTTGTTCTCATTAGTGCCAGTAACAATCATTGAAGTTTATAATAAGAAAAATGAAATTACGAAGAAATATAATTTGCTGAGAGATCTTGCTTGTTAAATTTGTCTACGGATAATCATAGCGGCAAAGGTATTTGAGGTCTAGAGCGAATAAATACATGGAAGATCTGTTTTCTACTTCTATAAGAAATAATTTCCTTGATACACAGCAAATTTAAGACACTATACACGAGTGCCTGTATATATTTTAAAAATTAGCAATAACTAAACTCTTTTCAAAATATTATTATTGATTAAAATTTATGTCATCAATTTCATTGATACTTGAAAAAAAGGACAAGTTAAATAAGAAATGAAACCCAAGTTACTTTATTTAGTGAAATTTATATGAATTTTAACTGATACGTTTTTTTTTATAACAAACAACTACTAATAATTTTTTTTGTCTTAAGAATAAGAAATGTATATTCATTTCAGATATATCAATTGTAAATTTTTTATATTTTTATTTATTATTAAATTTGTATTAATAAGACACTCATTATCCATAAGTGGACACACATGTATATAATATTATTATAAATATTTTTAAAGTACATTATAAGTTTATTATATATAATTATTTTTTTTCTATTTTAATAAATTAACTATCTTATATATAAAAATAATAATAATAAGTGCATTAAAATACATTGTTGAACAGCGCGTTCCCCGCTCCCAGGAAGCATGGTTTTGTTTTGGAGTAGAAGAAACGTCCGTTTGGGGTGGTTAGTCTAAAACAAACACATCTTAAATAGATTGAAAAGAACTAAGAACATCAAGTAATGCTTGACTCTGCATTGTAACTTACGAAGTTATAAGACACGCGTTTTCATGTCAGACTCAATATCTCCAGCTGTTATTGCGAATATAGCAAAACTTTTATTCGAGATTGACAGAAAGATATATTAATTCATTATTTACTTTGCAGTTTTGACACGAATATTATTCGCAGAGTCATGATAACTCTTTTTTTGGGGGTAATCAAAACGTGTTTAATCATCATTAGCAGCAAGATTATTAATTAATCGTGTTTTTATTGAGTGATTTGCAAGTATATAATCCGTAAAAAAAATGATCAATGATCATGAACAAAAAATTACATAATCTTAGTATCAAATGATCCTTAATGCCTCATCCAACAAAATTAAATTTTCACGGCGAACATAGAATAGAGCCCCAAGCACCCCATACGAACATATCCACCGAAAATCACCAACTCAAGCTTCATTTCAAATTTCTATACATTGTACCAATCAAATTTGAAACTTCTTAATTTATATGGAACATACTCCCACATAAAATAAAAGGAAAGTATATATAGTCATTGTTTACATATAGCTAGCTATGATTGATTACAACAATAAACTACTTCATAGAGCGATCCTCAGGAACGCTTTCTAAAGCAGGCCTCCAAGAATTTATGCTCCCTCCATTTTCTTCAATCTCAAGCACGCTTTTTTCTCTCAGCATCATATCTCTTAGTAATTGCTCCAATGAAGTGTGTTGTGCATCATTCTCATTCTTATTGCTCAACATCATTTTCAACTCTTCCTTAGTCACCATAAGTCTAATCCTCACAGGAACATTTGTAGAATTAATACCAAGTCTACCTTTACCACCTTTATTATCTTGTACTTTGAACCTTACCTTCTTCTTCATGTTGTCTTCTCGCTTTGCCGTTTTGGACCATGAAGATGTCTTTATATGCTCAACTTTCTTACTTTCTCCATTCTCATCTTGTGTTGATATTTGGTTGTTTCTCATGCAGCAGTTCCACATGTTTAAGCGCTGAACCATTTTAACTCAACAAGGCCAATATAGGGTAGAAGAGAGTGAACCCCTAAATATATACAAAGTGAGAGGAAGAGAAAGCACATGGAAATTCCTGTTGTTACGCCGGGTATTTGAATAAAGAAGGATATGATTCTCTTGCGTGAGATCAACACCATAATGAATTATGCTTTGGATTCCAATTTGTTTCATACTGTGTGAATATTTTACTTGTATAGTCGTCTGTTTAGCTTTAGCATGTGGCGTTTGTTTTGATTTTTATTTATTTATTTGATAATAGAAGAATAGATTAGTTTAAGAATGCTGCATTTGGAGTTTTCCATGCCTTGTCACAGTACAATAAAGAAAAATCCGAACAAACGTATATGTTTTAACATGCCCTTCGAGACACTCTTTATTATTAATTGATATTTTAAAAATTTAAAATACTTATCTCATAAATTAATTGACTATATATTAAAATACATTTTAATTTTTTTTTAAAAATTAACCAATATATTAAAGAGTGTATTTAAAATAATGTATGAAAAATGTCTATTGCTACACTTATACATTTATTGTTATCATTTCAATTTTTTTTATGTAAAATATAATTATAAATCACTTAAAAGAGAGTGATAATAGATATATGAATGTGATGACAGACACATCCAATGTATTGCTAGTATTTTTTTTATTTATAATAAATATATGAATAAAAGTATAGTTCTAAGTTGATGCCCATTAATCACTGCTAAGAAAATGGTACATCTCCTTTAGCAGGAAAGTTGCTAACAAATTAGCACAGCAACTTTGAATTGTTTATCACTATATTATTGGTCAATCTCATACTTTCAGTTGGGGGGGTCAATATATTGCACCTAATTACAAATGGCCGGCCACATTTTCATTACCTATTTAAGAACTAGCACTTCAATTAATATTTTCATCAGAGAACGGAAAAGGAATATTTGGAAAAAAAAAAAAAAAGACTATTGTCTTTGGATATAGTACATTAATTAGCAACCCATTAAGAATAATCAATCATGTAAATCTATGATCACTTGCCTTTTCAATGAGGATGCACCGATCATGTCATTTTGTAATTTCCATTTTTGGTTTTTTAATCCATCAGCATAGCTGAATTTGCAATAAAGGAATGTAGCTTATTCTTTAATTCAATATCCTTGCTACTTAAGGTATAATTTTTTTTTTCCAAAGTTGGAGGTTTATAGAATAAGACGTCTGTAGAAGAGCTTTGTTTATTTAGGTGTATCACTCCTATAAGATTTTTTTAACTTATTTTAATAAATTTTATTGTGAAAATAATTACATAAAATTTCGGACTATAAGTTTTTTATTGAATAAATACTTCGGTAATCTGTTTATCTAAATATACCAATAGGATGATGAATTATTACTTTAGTATTCAATCAGAGACAAATGAAATGCATTACGGTATGTTTGGAACTAAAACATTAAAGGAAAAAAAGGGCAAACTATCTATTTTCAATAATTATTCTTTAATTTGATAATTTTTAAAAATAAATAAAATAAAATAATATCAACATAAAATCAATGTCCTTATCTTTTATTTATTTTTATAAATATCATTAAGTCTTTTAATTTAAAATTCAAGATTTTTCTCTGTTTTTTTAGTAAAAAATTCACTCCCAAGCATAATTAAAAAAATACTCACAATAAAAAGTAAAATTATTTATTAAATGGATCTGAGTTTGAATATAAATATTTAGCTTATAAATTTTTATAGGAATGAATGTAAATATGGATATTTTCCTACCTAACCCACCTTATATTGCACTTATAAGATTAGGTCTCATAGCTTATATTGCACTTATTTAATATAATAATAATAATAATTATTATTATTATCTATTATTAACACACATGAAAAAAAAATTCACTTATAGAAATATTAAAGCTTAAAGGGAAAACAATCCTAAGTTCAAAGGATCGATAAGAAAGTATTTAATGATTTTGCCTAAAAACCGAATTGTGTATCATTAGATATTGCCAATTGCAGCAAAGTATGGTATCTCGATACAAAATTATGATCTTATTATGGTTTAATTCATATGTCAATTGAGAGACCCTGAATCTCATCCATAGTTCACAAATCTCTGAATTCAATGCTCAATAAGCATATTTAAAAACAGTAAACAAACAAGTATCCTCTTTTAATATTTTTAATCTCGAAATTTTAACCTTTAGTAACTTTAAACAATTACAATAATACTATATTATACAAGATCCAATTTTCTTATCCCAGCCCACTAAACAAACTGGAGATCTCACTGGCTCAGGTCTCATGTCAGTAAAAGATTTGGTTCACATCTTAAGAAATTCTGAGTTTTAGAAGCGAAGCAAGGAAGATATATTTTTATTTTAAATAAATATATTTAAAATTAATATTTTTATAATAAAATATATAAATTTAATGCATTAATTATCTATTTATCCTTATCAATGATATATTTATTTTAATTTAAAATTAAAAATATCTTATTTTTCTTTTTCTAAAATTCTCCTTTTAAACATAGCTTAACTATTTAAGATCTAAAAAAATCATTTGATATTAATTTAATTATTAAGTATAAAATATTTATTGAGTTCTTTTTTATATCACTTTAAAAAATATATATATCATCAATATAAGTATTATGATACTATAAATGCTCAAAACTTATTGAACTATGTAATATTTTAATTCTCTATCTTTTTTCTCCCTGCTCACCTATTATATCTTTCTAATTTTCTATTGTTACTAAATAGAATTCTTAATTGTTTCAGTCTTCCCTCAGACTTGTGTACACAATACATGTTCAAGCAATCATCCCCAGTCTTTTAATAATATGGTTAGAGTTATTTACAGAGTCAAAGAATTATAAAGAAACATGGTGTTCTCCCAGTAGCGATAGAAAGCTTGAATAGGAGACAGTGACTGGAATATGGAATGTAACGTGCCCGGAGGTCCAAGTTCTGATTATTATTCTCATTCAACTTTTCACAATATGTTTAGATAAAAAAATGAAAAAAGTTCAGACCTTTTAACTTCTATTTAGTGATGCTGATTGGTGAAGTGTATTCTCACATGAACGTTAACCTTAAAAATGTTATTATTTAATTACTTTATTTACAACCAATATTATTATTGTATATTATAAACAAATTTATAACACGTTATAGATTAATTATTTTACCAAAAAAGATAAATATTGTTTTCGTTTAAAATATTTTATTTTATTAGTATATATCATAAGATAACAAAGTGAAATGTATAGAAACTTTAATACGTTAACGTTTATAAACAAAGTATTAATCTAGCTTATTAAGACTTTATTAATGATCCTAAATGTCAATGGACACAGTTTTTTTAATCATTTAACTTGATAAATATTTAAAAGTAAATTAATGTCAATTAAATGTTTCAAAAACATTAATGTTTAGATAAGTAAAGATTTAATAATATTTACATATTTAAAATAAAAATTTAATTTTAATACATTGTTAGTATACAATTAATTTATATTAATTATTATTATAATTCATATTTTTTACTAATATGATAATTCATGATTAGATGTCAGTATAAATTTTTTAATACTATTCATTTATTTAAATTGAAATTTTAAAATAAATATATCCATATATTACATTGAGTACCGAAATTTATTTATTTAATTAAAATGTTTAAAATAATAGTTAAACTGACAAATTTAGTAATTTGTAAAAAATTATTAAGTGATGTGAGTTGAAGTTTAGGACAGAACTTAGGTATAATTATTATATGTACTATTGGTGTTGTTTTTTTAAATTAGAGTTGAAATTTTACTTTTATAATTTGTGTCAATCTTTAATAATTTTAATGTCAATTTTTATTATGTATATTATTAAGGTGAATTCCAACTATAATTAAAGTATAACAATCATTAACACGTATGATATTGTACTTAAATTTTATCTTCAAATTTAACACACATATTATATATATATATATATATATATATATATATATGTAAAGTAAAGATAATAAAATTATAATCATCTAAATTTTATCAATAATTCAATCATTTAATATTTTTTGTTAAAGAAATCGTAAAATTAGTTGTTAGAATAAAAGTTATTGTTATATAATTTATATCAAATAACAATTATTTGATATCATGTTCACGCAGGTCAATATTAAGCTAACAATTATTTGTTTAGAACATACAAAGATAAAGAGCATTTGAGTCCACTCTCATAGTTATTTAAATTTTTATAAAATTTAACTTTAATAATTAAGATAATGTATAGTGTTAGGTAAATCAACAAAAAATTACATTTTACATCAAATAATCAAAGGTGTAATAATTTATAAATATAACGATATATTTATTCTGTATATTTCTATAATTTTTATATAATGAAACATTATTTTAAACAAATATAAAATGTAAAATAACTAAGATAACTGGTACAATAAAAAGATAAATAATATAATAGATTAAATATATTTTAATTTCAGTCTCCATAAAATTATCATTTCTGTTTCAGTCTCTGTAATTTTAAAAAATAAAAATTATTATTTTGTCCTTAATAATTAGATAATAGCGTGATTAAAAGAGATATTCTCACATGTTAAATTTAACATCACGAGTAACTTTTTTATATAATATTTCATGAGTAAAAAGGAATAAAACCGTTGATTTTTAAAATATAAAAACTAAAATAAAAAATTATCGAGACGTGTGATTTCGAATTCGACTACAAATAGTTTCATAGTTGTTTGCATTATCAATCATAATTAAAGTTTTATTTTAATAATAATATTAAACATAATTTTTTAATAAAATATAACTATAATTTTAATCCATCGTATAAATAGCACCGAAAAAAAAACTTATGAAAAAGTAGTTAAATTTTAAAATAAAAATATAATATATTTTAAGAGAAAAAATTATTTAATCCTAAAATAATAGGATAATGAATTTACCATTAATTATACGAAATGATAACACGCACCCCATTACGTTTGTGTGGTTTGGTGAGTTGGCAGGCAACTCCGACCTATAAATCGTTTAATCCCAGAAAGACTGCGTCCAAGGGGTGTGTGTGTGTGTTGCAGAATCATCAACACCGCACCATTGCATAGCAGAAAGAGAAGGCTTCAACGAATTGCGATGGGTTCAGCGAACAAAGAACCATTGTTAGCGACAAGGGAGAGGGAGACACAGCCACCTAAATCAAAGCACGATTCAGACGGCGAATTGGAGAGAATTCTCTCTGACACAACCCAACCTTTCATTAGCCGTCTGGGACCCGCCACGTGGATCGAGTTGAAGCTCCTCTTCTTCCTCGCTGCACCCGCTGTCCTCGTTTACCTCATCAACTACGTCATGTCCATGTCCACCCAAATCTTCTCCGGCCATCTCGGTAACCTCGAACTCGCTGCCGCTTCCCTTGGCAACACCGGCATCCAAATCTTCGCCTATGGCCTCATGGTACCCACTCCTTTTCCTTTTTTTTTTTTTTTTTAAATTCACTCTTTATCAAATATATTACCACTACTATATTCAATTAGTTTAACAATTTAATTTTTTGAGCGTCGAAATGATGTTTCATTATTGTATTATGAATTTAATTATCATGATGATTAACATTTAATTGCAGTTGGGTATGGGGAGTGCGGTTGAGACGCTATGTGGACAAGCCTTTGGTGCTCAAAAGTTCGAGATGCTAGGCGTGTACTTGCAACGATCAACGATTCTTCTTTCATTAGCGGGTGTTGTTTTGACTATTGTATATGTCTTCAGCGAACCGATTCTAGTATTTCTGGGGGAATCGCCAAGAATTGCTTCTGCTGCAGCACTTTTTGTGTATGGTCTAATCCCTCAAATCTTTGCATATGCTGTGAATTTTCCGATTCAGAAGTTCCTTCAAGCGCAAAGCATAGTGACTCCCAGTGCGTACATATCAGCAGCAACGTTGGTGGTTCATCTTGTGTTGAGCTGGGTGGCTGTGTATGAGATCGGGTTGGGTCTGTTGGGTGCGTCTTTGGTGTTGAGTTTGTCATGGTGGATCATTGTGATTGCGCAGTTTGTGTTCATTGTGAAGAGTGAGAGGTGTAAGCGCACGTGGCAAGGGTTCACATTGCAAGCTTTTTCGGGGTTACCTGAGTTCTTTAAGTTGTCGGCGGCTTCTGCTGTTATGTTGTGTCTTGAGACTTGGTACTTTCAGATTCTCGTCTTGCTTGCTGGCTTGCTTCCTCAACCCGAGTTGGCTCTTGATTCTCTTTCTATTTGGTAAATTTTCTTTTTTTATTTTAATTATTTCGTTCATTTTTTTAAAATTAATATGAGATTGAGTCTCGAGATTTTGACCTTACATGTGTGTGTGTGGATATCTACATGTTTCTTAAGCATATAGGGTTTTACTTGATTGATTGATTGATTGATTACCTTTGCATAGGTAGTGTACGGATTTTTAAAAGAGTTTATGGAAATTTAACCAGCCTTGGTGAGAAAATAACGAGAGATATTCTTTAGGCTGCTACAATACAAATGCACACATATTATCCCCTTTTTAATGGAGATATTCCTTTTCTTCCTTGGGAATTTTGTCGTTGTTTATACAAGTCAATGTAACTTTTAATAATAATTGGATTAAAGGTATACAAGATTCCAAAGACATTAAAGAATGAGAAAAATAAAATAATAAAAAAATGTGAATCATTATACATTTTGTCTTTATTTGATTGAAAAGGGAAATTGAATTTTTAAAATAACTATTTAAAAAGTCCATTATTTTCTTTTCAGTATACAATTTTTAATTTTTCTCATTTTCTTTTCATCCATCCATCATTATGCATGTGAAGAGAAACGTAAGAAACAATGTCTACCGAATTGTTGTTGTTGGCATTATTGGGTTGGGGCAGGACATTCTTTGCCATGATTCATCTTTTGTTTTGTGGAAGATTACTTCAAGCAGGCAGGATAAACTACACGTAGCTAATGGGTAGTTCCTCAGGTAAGAAAATTGACTTAGAATATTTGATTTGTACTGTTCTAGGAACCCAATTAGGCACTTATAACTAATGCTATGGATTTTTGTCCTTTACCAATTTGGACTATCTAATTTTGGGTAAAAAAAGTGTTTGACTTTTACTAAATTTGAGTAATTAATTTAAAATTTAATAAAAAATAATTTATTATTAATGAGCAAGTTTTTTTATATATTTTTCTTCTTCATTATTGATGAATTTTTATCTATTAAATTTAAAATTAATTGTCTAAATTTACTCAAAATTAATGAGACCATAAAGTTAGAGAGCCCATGTGTCCTTCCTTTTCGGGGTTGCAAGGGGTGCAGCACAAAAAGAACAGCATGTTATGTAACTTCCAAGATACAGGTATACCCTTCCTGTTCTGTAATGTCACCGACGTACACAGGCGAGTAAACCTTTGGGTTAAACATGAAAAAACAAAGGTAAGGAAACAAGGGAAAAAGGTTCAGTAGGGCACTCCCCCTTTTACGATGCATTTCGTCAATACTCTCCCTGTTGTGACTTGAACGACGGTGATTCGTTTTTTTTTTTTTAATAATTTAAATTTATCAAAATTAATTTTATCCAAATATAAAATAATCGAATACTTTAAGGTGTGACAAAAGAAATAATGGAGGTTTTATATTTAGTTCACAGTTAATTTGAAATTATTGATGATGCATGTCGTGTCAGACAGACCACATCAGCTATTCTGTTTAATAGTCACGTGTTCCATTAAACTATTAAAGATGACAATTTTAGTGTATTAAAAATTATTAAAAGTGTATCATTATATTTTTTATATATAATTTTTTTTTATTCTTTATAACACTAGTTAACATTTACCTTTCTATATATTACTTTTTTTTTTTCTTATTGCAGTACCACAGTCGCTGGATGGGTGTTCATGATCTCTGTCGGATTCAACGCAGCTGCAAGGTTGGATTTCACTTTTTAATTAATATTCCTTTTAAGATATTATTGGGCTGCTCGAAATTCAATATATAATGTGCTTATCATATAATTAAGTTAAACCGGGAACCTTTTTAATTTTTGACATTTCAATTTATCTTCAACTCATGGACGCCTAACAAAAGATGCTCATGTTTATTGGATGAATATATGGAAAGCACATACATGTAAGCTAATGCTAATCGTTTCATGAGTTATAAATATGAATATGTGAAAACTAATTACAATAACTTACAAAATACGTTGTTTAGAATGAAGGGTTGTTACTTGTTAGATTTGATTTGTAAAAAAGCATTTATATATCTTGAAAACTATCTATTACAAGTAAGAACCTATATTACTTTCCCTGTCTATACTGAACAAGTGTTGGTCTGGCAACAATGCAGCGTGAGAGTGAGCAACGAACTAGGAGCAAGAAATCCAAAATCAGCCTCATTTTCGGTGGTGGTGGTGACATTGATTTCTTTCATAATATCAGTCATAGCAGCATTGGTGGTGCTTGCATTACGTGATGTTATTAGCTATGCCTTCACAGAGGGGGAAGAGGTTGCTGCTGCAGTCTCTGATCTTTGCCCACTGCTTGCTCTTTCTCTTGTCCTCAATGGCATTCAGCCTGTCTTATCTGGTAATTGTTATTTAGTTATTTGAATAATGTCATATGATTTATGTAACCGACCTCATTTTATAGGATAAGACTTAATTATAATTATTTTTGTAGATGAGTAACTAAAATTATACCCAAGAGACTAATGCATGGAATATAAAACATATGGTATATGAATGAAGGGGTGGCTGTTGGATGTGGATGGCAAGCTTTCGTTGCATATGTAAACGTGGGTTGTTATTATGGAGTTGGCATACCATTGGGTTCAGTTCTCGGCTTTTATTTCAAATTTGGTGCTAAGGTATGTATATTGAGAATGTCTTTCATATGCACTTTCAGCATACGATTTTTTTTTCAGTTCTATAAACTGAAAAAGCAGCATTGAATATTTAAACATATACATATTTAACTTATTTCATATGTTCTTATGTTTAAGTTTTAAATAAATTATATTTAATTTTACCGCAATTGGCTTATTTGTGGCAGGGAATATGGCTTGGAATGCTAGGTGGCACAACCATGCAAACAATTATTCTAATCTGGGTCACATTTAGAACAGATTGGAATAAGGAGGTAAAAACACAAATTTGCAATTATTTTATTTCCATGATACTATGCTCGAAAATAATGGGGAATTTATTGTTACTGCTTGATGAGAATTTTCTTCATTGTAGGTTGAGGAAGCTGCCAAGAGGTTGAACAAATGGGAAAACAAGAATGAGGAGCCACTTCTAAACTGAAGAGTAGAAAAATTTATTTTATATAGGGGCTAGAGAGACAAAAATTAACCCTATTTAATTTTTAATCGAAACCATTATTCAATATAATTATTTTTACTAATTCGGTTAATTAAGCGCTTTCATGCATCTTTTCATTTCTATTTGTCAACTAGCGCATACTATAAATTTGAATATGTATTTTTTAAGGCAGAGATATCTCATATTTTGCTTTATTCCTATGTTTTTCCTCTCTAAGTATTATCTACTGATACTTTAAAATTAATTCTTTTTTTTACTTTTTAAAAAAATTGCCGCCCCCCCCCCCCCCCCCAAATAAATAAATAAATCTACTTACATTTTTTATTTATTTAAATTAATTATAAATATTTATCTTTTAATTTTTACATATAAAAATACACATGCAGAATCCTTATCGGTTACAATCATTTTACAGTTCCGTATCTGTTTGTATACTTTTTTTTTTATAAAGAAAACTTCATATATTTTTGTCAGAAAATATAGGGCTAGACCCAAAAAAAGTTTGTCTGGCTAATCTGAATTCAATTATAATGGATCATTTGAAAAGGAAGTTTAAGCCCATATATAATTGTGGGCTATAGTCATGTTAGTATCATGCGGACTATTACAAGATAAAACTCAGCCACGATTTGGAGAAAATAATTCAATGAAAATACATTATGATGCGTTAAGAAATAGTGTTTGATTAAGTGATTTTTTTGATAAATTATTTTTAAACCATAATTTATATTATAAAATTTTACTACAGTAATTTGAAAATATTTTATTTTAATGAGATATATTAAGAAATTTATTAAAATAAGTTAACAATAACTTGTTCATGATTGTTAAAGTTTATTTATTACATTAAATAAATAAATTTATAATAAATAATTTTTTTAATAAAAATTACTATCATCAAGTTCTTAATCTTATTCTTAAGGATAAGATTAATATTTTTTATAGATAAAAAATTAGAGCAATTTTTAAACCAAGTTAATAACAGTTTGAGTGACAACAAAACCGATAAAAATTTATGTATAATTTTTCGAAAATCAAAACTGCCAATAATTCTTTCTCATGTGTTATATCACCATTTTTTATAATATTTTATTATGATATATTTAATTTTAAATTGTTTATTCTGTAGTTTCAAAATAAAAATACAAAATGGGAGCCTGCACTTAGATAACAATGGACTGCATATAAATCTTAATACATACTTTAAGTATAATAAATAAACGAATTAACGAGTGAGGTTTTGTTAAAAGCGACTTATAGTTATACATATGAAAAAAAAAATGCTAAGAAAAATGATATCGATTTGTGTAATTTTCCATCTTGAAGAGGAATAGAATTCAATATTCATTATTCAAGTCAACTGTCGACTCAATGATAGCATTGACGCATATTAGAAAAATTGACTTAACAATAGGTTATGTTTGGTACGGGTTTTTTTAAAGAAAGGGATGATATATTTTTTAATTTTAAATAAAAAAATATATATTATTTATAATAATAAATACATTATTAATATATTAATTTAAAATATAAATTTTATTCTAAAACATTCTTTTTTCAACTCTGTTAGGGTACTTGTCTCCATCCTCACTATTGATTCTCAATATCATACACCCATGACAAGTGTTTTTATATTATTTTAATTATAATCTTAAAATAATTTTATTATAAGTGTTTAATGATTAAAATTAATTAATATTAATCAATAAACAACATTACAAAATAATATAATTTTTTTCCTTTAATTTTTCACCTAAACAGATCAGATCCATATCTGTCTGACTATCTTTAAATTCGTCACATGCTAAGCATGTGAGCGACCCCTCACTTTAACTATCTCCTAAAACAACTCTCCCATGCTTCCCCATCTATGGACTATTTTTTATTTGTTTTGAAGGAAAAAGGATAAGCATAGACAATTTTTAAATTATTCAATATAAAAGAAATATAAAAATGAAAAATTAAATAAATAGAAAACTATATCTTTGTAATTTAATACAATATAACTATTTATAATGAACTCTTCTTTTTCTATACTTACTAAGAAGAAAAGAGATGTTAGAAAAAAAAAACTTTCTTTAATAATAATTAAAATTGTGTATTCAAATTTAGTATTATAGTAATTATATTATTATTATTATATATATAAGATTTATTTTACATTTCAACACTTATATCTTTTAATAATTTTATATAAAATACAAGATTATTTAGTTTATTATTAATATTTATTAAATAGTGTAAGTGATTTAAATTTTTATATATATTAATAAACTAGTTGTTATTATTAAATTGAAACGAAATATTGGGATGCGTGTATGGGATAAAATATCAAAATAAAATTTTGGAGAAAAATGGAATTGTTTTGATTTGTTGATAGATTTTGTATACATCCATGGAGATGCGAAAAATGATGTCTACTCGAGGAAGTCAAGATCATCCATACATACGCTGTGTTATATACCAATCATTTATGTGTCCCCTTGTCATTCCTTGGGATGAGCCTCGTTTTCACACTCTGCTCATATACTTGCAATTACCAACCAACCACCATTTTTCATTCAATTACTCTCCTCTTACACTGTCACCGCCACCTTTTTTCACCCCCCTCATTAATTAAACTTCATCCGAGCAACTTTTTGCTGATAGGACCTTTTCTCAACTATACTCATGAAACTGTAATCTTTGTTCTATTTCAATCATGTTTTGGCGGTTTTGGATACTGGGCATGGCCAAGTTTGAGTCTTTATGGTGAAAAGTTTGGTGGGTGGCTTGAAATTGGAGTCAAGTATGAAGCAGCTTATGATTTTGCACCTTGTAACATGGAGTTGGGTATTCCTCCTTTGTGGTATTGCTCACAGCCAAAGGCCTGCCAGTGTGAACATTGGTGCTGTTTTTGCTTTCGATTCGGTCATAGGTAGAGCTGCCGAGGTTGCTATGGAAATGGCTGTTTCTGATGTGAATGCAGACCCCAGAGTTCTCAAGGGAACCAAACTCAACTTGATCAAGAGGGATGCCATGTGCAACGCTTTTCTAGGATCCATTGGAGGTGACAACCGAGAACCTCTTCACTTTTTTTTTTCCTTTCATTTATTTGTTATTTGTTTTATAAATTCAGCAGATTATTTAAGAAGACAGATTTGCTAATTATTTAGTGTATGACACAAGTTGTTTTCTCACTCTGCTGCACTGGTTTTATTATTACTCAAACTTAACTTCATGAACTTTGCCTATTGGATGTATGGGTTGTTTGTTTTTTAGTTGGTGAATCAATTCTCACTTTCTAATGCAAAACACAAGTTTCAATAGAACTCTGTGATTCAGATTAATTTATGCACGTATCTCAATTATATTCAACGGCTCAAAATCACTTCTATTTAGCTTTAAACCAATTGGACACGTAAAAGATTTCTAAATTTAAATTGAGTTAATGTAATGTAATATAAGCCAGTATTTCTCCTAAAATAAGTGATTCCAAACATGCTACATTATCTGAACTGAATTACATATTGTTTTTATACAGCTTTTCAAGTACTTGAGAAAGGGGTTGCAGCTATAATTGGTCCACAGTCGTCTACTGTAGCTCATACGGTTTCTCAAATTGTTGATGCTCTCCAAGTTCCTCTTATTTCATATGCTGCCACTGATCCAACCCTGTCTTCCCTCCAATTTCCTTTCTTCTTTCGTACCACACAAAGTGACTTAGAGCAAATGACTGCAATGGCTGATCTAATTGACTATAATGGATGGAAAGAGGTCATTGCTGTATACTTAGACGATGATTATGGAAGAAATGGAATATCTGCTTTGATTGACCAACTTGACAAAAGGAGGTTAAAAATTTCACATAAACTTCCTTTGAGTATTCAGTTTGATCTGGATAAAATCACTAGCTTGCTCAATCAATCCAAATTGTTTGGACCTCGTGTTTATGTTGTTCATGTCAACCCTGATCCTAGACTGAGAATATTTTCCATTGCTCATAAGCTTCAAATGATGGCTGATAATTATGTCTGGCTTGTCACAGATTGGCTTGCTACTACACTAGAATCGTTATCCCCGGTGAATCAGACCACTTTTGATGTTCTCCAAGGGGTAGTTGGTCTTCGGCAACACATTTCAGATTCAAGAAAAAAAAGAGCTTTTGTTTCTCGATGGATAAAAATGAAGAAAGAAGGTGTGGTAAATACTAGTTTGAATTCCTATGGATTTTTTGCTTATGATGCAGTTTGGGCAGTTGCACATTCAATTAATATATTCATCGAAGTACACAAAAATATTACCTTCTTGCTTCATGATAACTATAAGCAACCTCAAACTGAAGGAACTGGCATTCAGCTTGACAAGCTCAAAGTCTTTGTTGGTGGATCTGATCTGGTCAACATATTATTACGATCAAATTTTACTGGTGTGAGTGGTCAACTTCAGTTTAATTCAAACAGAAATATTGTAAGCGGTGGCTATGATGTTATCAATATCAATCAGATGGCAATTACTAGGGTTGGTTATTGGTCTAATTATTCAGGATTTTCAGTTGTACCCCCTAAAGTTCTCACAGAAAAGGAACATAACAAGTTTTCTCAAGATCAGAAGCTTGGAAATATTAATTGGCCTGGTGGAAAGACAGAAAGACCACGTGGTTGGGTGATTGCTGATAATACCAAGCCACTGAGAATTGGAGTGCCAAAGAGGGCAAGTTTTGTTGAATTCGTAACTGAATTGCAAGGTAGTAATCAAATTCAGGGGTACTGCATTGATGTCTTCAAGAAAGCCCTTGCGTTTATCCCATATGAAGTTCCTTATGTATTCAAGTCTGTTGGGAATGGTAAAGAAAATCCCAATTATGATGCACTTGTGCAAATGATTGCTGAAAATGTAAGTGAGGCACACACTGAAAAATATATATTTGCAAAATTAGTTAATCCAGGCTTTTATAAGTTAACATAAACTCCTTTGCTGAAGATGGCTGACATAATATTATGTTTTAGCTTACTCAACAGTTTGTACAACTTTACCTTAAAGATCTTTAAGATTAAAAAATTTCCTTTCCTTTCCTCTTTTTGTTTTTCTGGGTGGAGTAGCATGTGCAGAAAGAAGGGAATAGAAATTGAAAAATTGTAGTTGGCATTATTGGTTTTTATTTGGAGTGTTGTTTAGTGTTATCCAGTATAAGATAATTCACTGAGGTTCTTTATACTGGGTGCCTACTTTACATTTTTTACTTATTTGCATGTTGGATTTTTCATAACCTTGTTTATGCTTGAAGTTTGGTTTAGGTACTTGATGCTGCTGTTGGAGACATTGCAATTGTGACAAACCGTACAATGATTGTGGATTTTTCTCAGCCTTTTGCATCATCTAACCTTGTTATAGTGGCTGCTATCAACAATGCAAAAACGGATAGTTGGGTGTTCCTCAAACCATTTACAGCAGATATGTGGTGTGTCACTGCTGCATCATTCTTGATGATTGGAGTGGTTATATGGATTCTTGAGCACCGAATAAATGATGACTTCCGTGGTCCTCCCAAGAGGCAACTTGTGACCATGCTTATGTAAGTCTTTCTAGTAAATTTTATGCAATTTTCCCGTTTAATTTTTTTTCTGTTGAACTGCTATTATAAGTCAAACTATGACTGGTAACTCTGTGATTTGATTACCTTTTAGACCTAGCTTGGTGAATTTGATGTAGCTGTTTGTACACCACTGTTTATCTTGTGTTTTATATTTTAAATCCGTGCTGTCGTTTGTTTTTCAGGTTCAGCCTCTCAACACTGTTTAAAACAAATCGTAAGAAAGCATAAACCTCTTAAACTATACTTATTTTGTTCTTGTACTTAGACCTGAGTATGTCATTCTCTGTTGTCAGTTTTACATCAATTTGCATAAAACTGTATAGACCATACAGTTTCAATGTAAAATTGACGACAGAAGACATACAGGATTATGCATCTTTTCTTTGGTTTGCATAATTATACTGGTGAAGTAGTGATATTTGTGGGATCTGCATTACGCTTTCTGATAATCTTTTACTTTCTCATGAAATCAGAGGAGAAGACAGTAAGCTCACTTTCTAAAATGGTGATGATAGTGTGGCTTTTTCTATTGATGGTGATCACAGCTAGCTATACAGCGAGCTTGACCTCAATTCTTACAGTGGAGCAGCTTTCATCACCCATCACAGGAATCGATAGCTTGATTGCAAGTAACTGGCCTATTGGATACCAAGTAGGATCATTTGCTTACAGCTATCTGATAGATAATCTTTATGTACAAAGATCAAGACTTGTTTCCCTAGGCTCCCCTGAGGAATATGCTATAGCCCTGCAGAAGGGACCACATGGTGGAGGGGTGGCAGCTATCATTGATGAGCTTCCATATGTGGAGTTATTTCTGTCAAAAGAAACTGATTTTGGTATTATTGGACAGCCATTCGCCAGAGGCAGTTGGGGATTTGTAAGTGGCCATACATGATTATAATAAAGTGATTGAAATTTCCCCACAGTAGTGATAATATAGATAGTAGAAAAAGCATGCTTACATGTTCTAAATCCTATTTAGAGGAGTCATCTTATTTCAACAAGTTATTCAATATAACTTACTAGATTAAGCTCTTTTCATTTATTCCAGGAAGTTTTATAGTCAAACATATGATATAAGTCTTTGTATAGAAAGAGCTTACTGAATAAGTACTTAATTATCAAACACACCCTTAATCATACCTTGTCATTTGGTTTTGAACAGTGGACATTGTGAAATATTTTAGTTATGTCTATATTTGGCATTTCCTGACATTTCACAACAATATATCAGGCTTTTCAAAGAGACTCTCCTCTTGCCTTTGACATGTCTACCGCAATTTTGAAACTCTCCGAGAATGGAGAGCTTCGAAAGATACATCACAAGTGGTTCTGTAAAATGGGTTGTCCTGAAGAAAGGAAAAGCAACTCTAAGCCTGACCAACTTCACTTGGTTAGCTTTTGGGGTCTATATCTCTCATGTGGCATTGTCTCTCTCGTTGCAATGGTGGTGTTTCTGCTACGAATGATTTGCCAATATGCTCGCTTCAAACAAAGACAAAAGGATATTGCTGCTTCATCCTCAGAACCATCATCAAGCACTCCTTGTTCCCAGGTTGTTGTTAACTTCTTTAACTTCATTGATAAGAAGGAAGAGGCCATCAAGAAAATGTTCACTCAATGTGACAATGTTCACAACACCAACTGAGATGAATATTGTGTTGCAAAAGAGCTCAAATTTATAGATTCAGACAATGCTGTCACTCGGGTTGTTTGCTTTTAACATGACTATATGATATGTGATGGCACAATAGTCTCTGTATAGTGACAATAATGATAGTTTTGTATATTATTTGTAGTAAGTGCTAGTGTTATACTAGTTTTTAGTTTATTTTTTTTTACAAGGTCATGCTGTTTAATATGCTTTACTCAAATCAACTGTAACATATCCCCATGTTCCAACCTTAGTGTAATTTGATGAATCCAACTTAGATGATTTCATCCTTAAGTTTGTTACAAAAATTTTATGAAACAGAAAATGGTGTCATCTAAAATACTCGCTAGTTATTTTAAAACTAAAGTCCATTTTTCTAGGTGAAAGACCCTTATAAATTGAGTTTTGGAAAATGAAGAAATTTTTTATTTTAAGTTTTGGAAAGACCCTTATATTTAACATTAATATTTTTAAAATAAAAAAATTAATGTATTTATTATACATTTATCATTCTAAATAATATGTAATTTTCTTAATTTATTATTATTTTTCTTTTCAAAAACTCCCTTTAGAACAAGTACTCCATTATTAAGAGTTAAAAACAGTGAAAGTTAGCATCATAAGCATGAGATCATGAATATGAGGGAATCATGGGGTAACGACTAAAGCTGGGTGAATTGTGGACTTATCTATGAATGTGAAGTATGCACATCTACATGAGTCCCCACAGGTCGCCTGACATTTCAATCGTGCTTTTAGTTGACTAGACAAAACTTTCTTTTGTGCCCCTTTCCCATCATCTTTCTTCCACATACGTAATTACGTATATATTATCTTGTATTAGTTTTAATTTTTCTTATACTTGACTTTTCAAAACCATTTTAACTGCTAATGTAATTGACAATTAATTTTAAACACCTTGTTATTGATTTTAAGACGTGAAAAAATGGAATAAAGTTTCAAACGTATCTATTATTTATTATTAACTTCACCTAAATTCTTCGTTTCGTATTCAAAAATCACGAATTTGATAGCAGGAATTCAAAATTAATTACTAATGATATTGCCAGTCAGAGAAAATTTACCTTTTAAAAATGCATTTACCTTGAGATAAATTTAAGTACAATATAATTATTTTTGAAGGGAGAAAACCATATTTTTTTAAAAAAATAAAGAGAAATATTATTTAATTTAAAAATTATTATATTTTTACATCGATTTTCTCCTATATTTAATTATAATATCTTCTTTTATCATTTTATTCTTTTTTCTATCATATTTCTTACTTTTTATCTCTCATCCTTTTTTTCCCCTTGCTTTTCTCTTTTCCTAGCTCATTTCATGGATGTTCAATGATATTTTTCAAAACATTAAGACGACCGATATAACTATTAACCAAATTTAAATTTAAATTATTCATTTATAATTACACGTTTCAAATTTTACATTCTTATTCCACATAACTCATTCTTACATTTGTTAGGAGAAAAAAAAGAAAGAAAGAAAAAGTAACATATCTTTGACTATTCTTAAAGTTGAAAAAAAAACGCCATGTAATGGTTATTCCGTCGCCACTCAAATGTGTGTATCAATAATTGAATTGGAATTGGAATGTGCCCACTCAAAATAATGAAAATTGATCCATGTTAGGATTTTATTTATCAAGTCCATTTGTTTGTGAGCCATCCACTTCTTTTCTCCTAAGCAAATGTACAAATCAACTTTAATTAAAAAAGCAAGCACATTAGTGTTAAATATCTTCGAAGAAATTGAAAAAGGAAAAGAAAAAAAAAGAAAGAAAGATGCCCAAATTTAGAAGCCTATTGGTCGGAATGACTGTCATTAGTGCATTTTTTACGATAATTACTTTCGAAGAAATAATTATTCTTTTAAAGCTTCTTAGAAAAGATTTTGCTTAAAATGCTTTTGAACATAAAAAAGAAGCTAATTAAATATACAATTAATTCTTCAAACAGCCATACAACCATTAAAATCAATGCGGGAATCAATTCCTTAATAATTAAATATTAGACATTTCTTACAAAGCAAGACAGATTTAAAGTTCAACCAAAATGAAAGTTTAAGACATTCTAATGGTTAGAGAAGGATATTTATGTTTGACCCATAATATTAATATTTTAAACCATGATGCTTTCTAATTAAACATTAAAAATATTTAAATATAAAAAATGAGTAAGTATCCAACACATGTTAAATCAGCAGAAGTTTAGCGGACACGCATTAAGAGTTTCATAATCATCCACTAGAACCAGCTTTGGCTAAATGGGAATATTTAGCCAAAATGAGTGAAGATAACAGAGTAACCACAAACAAGAGAACACATTGATTCTTTTCATATTTTTCTTTTTAAAATATAGTTTGTTAATTCACTATTGATTATTTTAAGGACGCTTGCTCGCAACGTTTTTAATTAAGAAAAATATTTTTTAAAAAATTTTAGTTCCATATGTGTTTATTTCTTCAATAGGAACAACGTTAAAGTTGCTTTAAGAACTTTGATTAACAAGTTCCTTCAAGCAAATTTGAAAATCATAAAATTTTCAAATTGATATACTAATGTCAATTCAAACAAAAAATATTAGGGATAAGTATAGACTATTCTTATGGTAATTTCACGGGCCACCATTTGTAGTATTGCTTTTTTATGATGTGTTATGTTTGAATTTGTTTACTTGCAGTTTTCCTTTATAGCCCTTCAAAGGTTCTTTTATGGCCAAATATAAAAGCCTCAAACAATATTTTTTTAGTATAATCATATGTTATACATTATCAATAGAATATATGCTGTAACATTTTATATCTGTTATAGATTAGCTTTTCCTGAAACCCATGTCCCACCCATATTCACACGCATAAGGATTAAATTATTATTTTAATTTTTATATAAATTTAAAATTGATATTCACTATTTAGTAAAATTATAGTGAAATTAATATATATTTTTTATGCAGAAACTAAAATAAATAATAATAATTGTGTGTGGAAATTAAAATATGACATTTTTATAAGTTAATTATCACGCTAAAGAATGATATTATGAAATAACGAGAACTTACAAAACGCAGAAGATAACGAAAGATGATTTACGAAAGAAAAAGGAAAGATTTAGCAAAAAGTTGTGAAGATAAAACCTGAAATAGAGGATTAAACAACTAATGCCTATTAATTTGAGTAATTAATGATGGCCGTAAAAATTAAAGTGCATTCATTCATTAAGGTAATCCAAACAACTAAAAAAAAGGAAACAATAGAAGACAATAAACAATAGGGCGAAAAAGAAGGAAAAAGTTGGTCACGTGCTTAAAAGTTGAAAAGTCAAGAAATGAAAAACACATGGTAGTAAAAATTATTGATACAACATACAAATCAAAGTTAAAAGGGCATCAATAGATAATTCTTTAACTTATATTTCAAATTTATATATGTGAGTTGAATGTATATTTTGCCTCAAAAGGTTTTACATTTTAATTGTTAACATTTTTCATATGGAGAGGGATTAATTTATATTGGTGTAAGTTACACTAATTTTTCTATTGTTAATAATTTTATAAAAATATAATTTTTATCTATCTAACTGTTAATTTATAATCATATATTATTTTTATTATCGATGTTAAATTTTATTCTAAATTTGATACTTATAAAAATATAATTAAATAGTTATTATTTTCAAACATTGTAAGTGTATATTAGGTTAATATTAATGTGTGTGAATAAATTATTAAATTTTTTAAGTAAATTAAAATTTTACAAATATAATTTATATGATAGTAATTTTTAAATTGTTTCAATTAAAAATAAAATTTATTAAAATAATATAAAAGTAAGTGTAATGAACATTTTTCTTCTTTCTATATTATCATCTATTTTAAGTTTATATACCATTTACAATTAAATAAATATTGACATACTATTTTTTTTTAATACATACTATATTTAACCCTGAAAATTTTCACTCAACTTGATTTTTTTTAAAAAAAAAACCACCATAAATAATCCCACAAAATTATAAGCATAAAATATTTAAATCCTTTATCCAATACATAAAATTTAACATATCTCATATTGATAATTTTAAAAAACTAAGATAATTTTTTTTTTCAAGAACTAAAGTATCTCCAAAGAACTGATTTAAATATTCACCCTGATTTGTTTTTCTCTGCAAACGCAAAGGGCTTCCATGGCTATAGTCAAGTTGTCATATTCTTCTGTGTTTGGTATCTTTGGACAATATGCGCCACTTGTCCCACAATCCCACTTTGCGGTACCAAAAATTATTACCATTACATATAATGGATGTTTACATATCGTTCTAGCTATGCTGTCACCATCAGAATCAATGTGAGTTATATTATTTATATAATAATTCTATAATATATATTTTTTAATCATCTCGATTATTTTAGTACAATGACAAAAAATTTTAGTTGTTATAAAAGAGTTAAACAAACTATACAAACAGCCATGATATACATACAATAATTTTTATAATTTATTATTTTTCATCCCATCACTTTTCTCATTCATTATTTCTTTCTTTTCTCTTCTTTAAATATTGTAATTTTTTTTGGTTTATTGTTTTTTATCCTTCTTTTAATTATACAATTTTTTTAAAAAATTATATATAAATAGAATTTCTCAATCAAGAATCACGTCATGCTTTTTATTTTCTCACTGAAAAAAATGTGACTCACGAAACAGCTATCCTGATAACATGAAACTGTCACACGAGAAGACAGAGATTTTGTAACATATTTGACGAAATTAACGTGGAGAGAAGACAATGCTTGATGCTTTAGTCTTGAAGGGGGAGTGAATGGATGATTCTTTGCTTTCAGCTTGAAACAAATTAACTTGCTTCTTTTGGCCAGTGAAAGTGGATAGTGACATTCTTCAATCACATGCTTCTCAACCACAAGCATGTATATAAAAAAGAGTTCAGAACTTTGCAGCCTTTGTTAATTATCCCTCTAAGTTTGGACTTGAGGTAATCGCAGATACTCTGCTCTCCCTATCTCGTTCACTAGGTATCTATTGCATATTATATTGTTTCTTTCTAAATGTTGACAATATATTTGGCATGTGGGTCTCAACACTAACACAGTAAGTTGTTTATTTGGTTCTAAGTAGTTGTTTTCACAAAGGATTTTCTGACCTTGATTGGCTTATTAAACAATTTATGACTATATACCTTTATAACCACACATTAAATAAAACAGAAAGTGTGGATACGCTCATAGAATATTTTGTCCATCTGGGTAAGTGAGTATCTGAATTTTATAATCCAAATTGCTGTTACCATATGGCTTGTTCCTGTTGGGTGGTTGAATCTAGTCTTCTGGGGCTTTACTGGTTTCTACATGAATAGGATTGAGTTCATTTTAAGACCAAAATATCCTTGTGTTTGTTTGGCTCCTTCCAGCTATGATGATTCTTGCCTTCTCTTGTTGGTCTTTGTGCTGCTACAGAAATGGCTGGCACTTAACAGGTGCTGAGTTTTGATGCTGCTTTAAACTGAAGAACCTGAGGTGCAAATCACAGCTTTCAGAGTTTTTCTCACAAATGGAGGAGTTTTGGGTCACAAGGTATGGAAGAATGGTTGTGGGCAGGGCTTTGTTACTCTTAGTTTTGTGCTTGTGGATTCCCACACAGGTGATGGGAAGAACAGGAACTACGTCCACAAACTCTACTACTTCTTCTAGGCCAACTGTTTTGAGAATTGGAGTTCTGTTTACTGTTAATTCTATAATTGGAAGATCGGCTAAACCTGCAGTTTTTGCTGCCATCAATGATATCAATGCTAATTCGAGCATTCTCCCTGGCATTAAACTGGAAATTATCCTACAAGACACGAATTGCAGTGGGTTTGTTGGAACAATGGACGGTATTTGCCAAAACTTCAATTTCTGTAGCTACAAAGATGCTGTATCTTTGTTTAATTTGAGGTCTTGTATTGAAGGAATATATTTATTTTAGAATTTTATGTTTGCTTCTTTGTTTATCAAGTACTTTCTTAGTCTTCTTGCTTTTGTCCATTTCTCTTTTATAACTCGGTGCCTGTTTAGATTAATTTATTTTGTCATTTTCTTTGTGCTTCAATAGAAGATTCTTTCTTCAAGATTAAGGATTAGTAAGTTTTCCTTCTGAATTCAGGCAACTTGCAATCTTCCTGTTTTTAACTTTATGAATTGCCATGTTTTTTTCGTAAAACTTTCATTTCAAGAGTATGTTCAGTTATTGCAGAATCACTTTGCTTTCTTTTCAGTCTTGCAAATTCATATTCTGATATTTCATTTCATTTGAAATGTCTGGTGCTTATTACTTTGTTTTTGTAAAACTACTCCAGGTTCCAAAAAAGCAAGCTATATATTAACATCATTTGTGTTAACATCTTTGTGGATCATCAGAATTTTGAATAAACTCCCATTCATTAACATCTTAGTATTCCAATTGCATAGATGTTAATGGGACAGAACAGAATTTGGAGAGGAATTTGTATGGACTACGTTTACATGTCCTTTTATTGTCCCCTTTCTACATGTGTGAGTGAAAAAGAAGTGAACAAACTTTATTGATTTTTCTTGATCATGTAGCTTTGCAGTTGATGGAGAATGAAGTGGTTGCTGCTGTTGGTCCACAGTCCTCCGGAATAGCCCATGTTATCTCTCATGTTGTGAGTGAACTCCATGTACCTCTTGTTTCATTTGGAGCAACAGACCCATCACTATCATCTCTACAGTACCCATATTTTGTCCGCAGCACCCAAAGTGACTATTATCAAATGTATGCAATAGCAGACTTGGTTGATTACTATAGATGGAGGGAGGTGATAGCCATTTTTGTAGATGATGATAATGGAAGGAATGGAATTTCAGTACTGGGAGATGCTTTAGCAAAGAAACGTGCTAGGATCTCTTACAAGGCTGCATTCGCTCCTGGATCCCCCAAGAAAGACATCAGTGACTTGTTAAATGGAGTGAACTTAATGGAATCAAGGGTCTATGTTCTGCATGTTAATCCTGACACTGGTTTGTCAATTTTTTCTCTTGCTAAGAAGCTAGGAATGATGACCAGTGGCTATGTGTGGATTGCAACAGATTGGCTTGCTTCAGTGTTGGATTCATTGGAGCCAGTTGATCCTAACACAATGAATCTCTTACAAGGGGTTTTGGCTTTACGCCATCACACTCCTGATACTAATGAAAAGAAGAGTTTTCTCTCTAGGTTGAAGAACCTTAAAGACAAGGAAACTCCAAGCTTCAATTCTTATGCATTGTATGCATATGACTCCATTTGGTTAGTAGCTCATGCTCTTGATGCTTTCCTCAAAGAAGGTAGAAAAATATCTTTCTCTTTTGATCCTTTGTTGCGTGACACAAATGGAAGCATGTTGCATTTGTCATCACTTCGGATTTTTGATGATGGGCCTTCGTTTCTCCAGAAAATTTTGAGGGTTAACTTTACTGGTTTGACTGGTGAAGTTCAGTTTGATACAGAAAGGAATAGACTTCGTCCAGCATATGATATCTTGAATATTGGTGGATCTGGATCAAGGAGAATTGGTTATTGGTCTAATTACTCTGGTCTCTCAGTTGTGGTTCCAGAAATTTTATATAAGAAACCACCAAACACTTCAACAAGCAATCAACAACTGTATGGTGTTATATGGCCTGGTGAAACTGCAGTTAAACCAAAAGGGTGGGTATTTCCCAACAATGGAAAGCCACTGAGAATAGCAGTGCCTAACCGGGTAGGCTACAAGGAATTTGTTTCTAAAGACAAGGACCCCCCTGGAGTAAAGGGATATTGCATTGATGTCTTTGAAGCTGCCATAAACTTGTTACCTTATCCTGTGCCGCGACAATATATATTATTTGGAAATGGTGTGAGAAATCCCAGCTATGATGACCTTGCAAATCAGGTTGCACTAAATGTAAGTTCTAAATATAATTTTCAGCCTAATTAGCTATAGTATGGATAGTTTTTGAATGTAGTATCTGGATTGTGAATATAATTTTGGGTGGATGAGGTCTCTTCAAATTCTAATAGTTATGTTAACTTGGTCTTTCACTTCTTCAGAACTATGATGCAGCAGTAGGGGATATTACAATTGTCCCAAACAGGACAAGGGTTTTGGATTTTACTCAACCTTTCATGGAATCAGGGTTGGTTGTTGTTGTTCCTGTCAAGGAGATCAAATCAAGTCCTTGGTCTTTCCTCAAGCCATTCACTACTCAAATGTGGTGTGTTACTGGTGCCTTTTTTATTTTTGTGGGAACAGTTGTATGGATTCTTGAGCACCGGCACAACCCGGAGTTTCGTGGTAAACCGAAGAAACAACTCATGACAGTCTTTTGGTTAGTATGTTTTGATAATTTTGAAAGCCTTTTTATCTAAATCTTTTGGAATATGACAAGGGGCTCCTTTTGTTATGAACCTGGTTAATGCCAAGGTGTTTGACATCTCAAGTTGCAAACATTATTTATCATAGCATATTGTATTGATATTTTAATTTTTAGTTAGAATTGAGGTTAACATATGATTTCATATCTTTGCACTTATTTCTTTTTCTTTTCTTTACTTTCCTTTCTGTTTTACCTCTTCAAGAATCTTAGATTAAACGAGTCTCTAGCTGACCTTCCAAACCCCAGCATAGCGGGCCTAAATCTTTAAATTTTATGCATGGTTTGCTTTAATATTATGTGACACATTTTACTTAGATAAGTGTTCCTCTTTTGCAGGTTTAGTTTCTCAACAATGTTTTTCTCACACAGTACGTGCCCCGCAGATTCTCATTCACATAATTTAAATTTTGGCTTGTGACAGTCCTTATTTTGTGTGACATATAGTAAAAATTTGTGACTAACTCTGCTGCTTTGACTTGGCACAGGAGAGAACACTGTGAGTGGTCTTGGGAGATTGGTGCTAATCATATGGCTTTTTGTGGTGTTAATTATCAATTCAAGCTACACAGCTAGCTTAACATCCATCCTCACAGTGCAGCAATTGTCATCACAAATTGAAGGAATTGACAGCTTGATCTCAGGCACTCAACCAATTGGAATTCAAGACGGGTCATTTGCAAGGAAGTACTTGACAGAGGAACTCAATATACAACCATCTAGAATAGTTACATTGAAAAATATGGATGCATATATTGATGCACTTCAGCGTGGACCAAAAGAAGGAGGGGTTGTGGCTGTTGTTGATGAGCTTCCTTATATTGAGATCCTAATGTCAAGTACTGATTGTAAGTTTAGAACCGTTGGGCAGGAGTTCACCAAAAGTGGTTGGGGATTCGTAAGTATCTTTATTTGCATGCCTATGGTTTAGATCCCTGGAAAATAAATGAAAATAAAACTCTCTGATGATTTTGTTTTTTGATGTTTCTAGGATATCTTTCTTATAATATATTTTTTAAAGGATAAAACTTAAATACAATAAGGCATTGTTGATGTTAATTCTCTAATAAAAATTGATATTTCATTTTGGTAATTGTCACCCATTTTAGTTACAAAAATGATAGTAGTAATAACCAAGGTGGAATTTTGATTGGAGAATAACACCAATAGGCACAATATCATAGTTGTCTTTTAATTTAGAAGGTTTGTGCTAAGTTCATATATATATATATATATATAATGATAGTAGTAATAACTATGACTATGCTTGTTATGTTTATATATTACACATAATATATTGTTCTCATATTTGATACTCTGATGACAGGCATTCCAAAGGGACTCTCCCCTTGCTGTTGACATGTCAACTGCCATTCTTCAACTATCTGAGAATGGTGATCTGCAAAAGATTCATGACAAATGGCTTTTAAAACATGATTGTACGGCAGAAGATAATGTTGACTCAAATAAACTATCTCTGAGTAGCTTCTGGGGTCTCTTTCTTATATGTGGCATTGCATGTATCCTTGCTTTAATTGCATTTTTCGTTAGAGTGTTGTGTCAATATAACAAATTCAGCCCAGAAACTGTGGAAACTGACGAAGAAATTCAACAAGTAAGGCCAAGAAGGGCTTTCAGAGCTACAACTAGCTTCAAGGACTTGATTGTTTTTGTGGATAAGAAAGAGAAAGAAATCAAAGAGATACTCAAACAGAAGAGTAAGAAAAGGAGACGTAGCATGAGCTCAGCCTCAGATGGACAATCTAGTTCATCCACCTAATGACAAGATAATCCAATAAGAAAAGGAAAGACACATATTTTTTAACTCTTATAAAATAGACGTGTCTTTCGCTTTTATATTGGATCATTCTGTCATCATTGGAGATGATATTTTTTCCTAAGTAACCATGTATATTTTTTAGTGTATTGTTTTAGTTCCCTTATTTAGGCTATACTATAATAACAACAGTATTGACATTAATTTGTCAACGTTGAAATATTTAAATTTATCCCTTCTTGCATAGGGAACTGTGGCTGTTAGATTATTATTAACACAGCATACCGAAAAAAGCACATTGGTCTACAATTCAGACCAATATACACTAGATTTTGACAATTGTACCTTGATACTAAGGAAAAAAAATGTTTTCATTCAGCTTCTTATGCTTGACATGCGCTTCTTCTTGTTTTTTTAGTAAGAGAATTAAGAGTTAGAGCGAAGAAGAAGGAAGAGAGAACTTAGTAAGATGTGAGATAAGGAAAAGATACAATACGGATACAAGAATTATAAATTATAGAGTATGATGCGAATATAATATAATAAATAATATTAATTTAAAATTAATGTAAAATAAATATTTTGAATCTTAAAAAATGAACATTATTTATTATGGTATCTCAACTTCTATTGATATAGTCTTAAAAAATATAGCTACTATATTTTCACAGGATCGGATATAAACACACGTCTAGCACTTATGACGTAACAAAACTATTATTTATATAAGGGTTTCTTAGAGAAAATATCCTCACTAAAATTACCATCTTATATTATATGCTTAAGTTACCAATCCTATTGTGGTCCCTTTTATATAATGAATTTCATTAACATTATTCAAGCATGGATGTGTGCAACATATTCAAGTTCAATGATCTGATATGACAAGTATTTTTTCAGGGGAATCTGTGTATCCCACCAACCACATTCACATTATCTAGGCTAAGGGTTTCCTTCGTGAATGCAATTACTCTTATAATTGTCATAGATAGATCTGCCACCAATTAGTTCCTTTTAAAAAAAAATTAAGATGATTTTTTTATTGAAAGAAATTAAAGCTAATTATAAAATTCTTAGATTCACAAACCTGCAAAAGTTTTTATAATGATTATAAAATTCTGCAAGACAGCATAACTCAATTAAATAATTTCACCGTATGGGGCTTATCGTTTCTTATTATAAATCTGAAAATGATGCATCAAATCATTGTGGCAATTCCACATGTTTTCCGTGGGAACATGCGTGTTCAAAGGATGCGTAATCTTGTCTTATTTTTCAACTGCAAACTTCATAGAAAAGAGGTTCCGATATTTTCCTTTTTTATTGGCTATCTCCTGTGTCATCATTTGTCGTTGAATTCTATAATTTATTTTATTTACTAATGTGTCTATTATTACTTTTAAGTGATTGTTATCGTTTTTATTTGAATATTTCGTCAAATATTTGTTTATAACCACATTAAATAATAATAATAATATCTTGTCTAAGTTCCTAATCACTTAGCTCGAGCTTAGAATTCTCCTGACCTTTCTCTAATCAGCATTTGTTTAAGATGTGGAATTAAAATCACTTCCGAGGTGTGTCTATAACTTCCCCGACCCCAACCTAAAGTAGCAGCTAGATGTGAAAGCAAAATCAAACCGGTATCATAATTTTGACCAATTTAAAATATAATTTCATGTAGTTAAAATAACTGAACGATCTTCATTAACTAACTAACAACGTGAATAACAAGGTTTGGACCCAAAAAATATGAATAACTAGGCAACTTAAAAATGATTCTTCAACTTAAATTATGGGAATAATTTAAATCAGAATAGTCTTAGAAAGTGTGAAAAATATGAAAATTGTGTAAGTAGATTGTTAACATATATAGTCATCAAACTTCACATAAAGTTATGTTTACAGTGTTATGAAAGAAATGTTTATTATCATTCTCACATGTTTATTATCACTTCTTATTTAAGATCTTCTATTTAAATATTAATAATAAAATTTAATTAACAAATAAAAAAGAGTATTTTATATATAAAAAAAGTGACTTGTAAACTGATAATAGACTCGTTTGTTAAGAAACCTTATAGGTTTAGTTGATATCAATTTTAATCAATACTTTTTTGGGCACCAATATCTGCCTAAACTTAGTTGTACGAATGTTGGTGCTGGGTAAGAATTTCATTGATGCAGTGTGCAGACAGCAATGTAAGTGTTAAAAATAGGACCAAATTTGATTATTTCATTTAGCTTTCCATTGTTTTGCAATGGACCATCTTTCGATACCGACTAGGTAAACCTCTAGACCTAAACAAATATTTCATATAATTTATTATAGAAACCCGAAAAGTCTTAATATTTTCATATATATGTACGATAGGGATATAAAAATCAATGTCGATAGGACAATTTCTATGTTCATGAACCTGCACCAATTTGTTAGTTGCCTTAAATTATCTCCTTTAAAAGCCAAGTTTAAACCAAAAAGAAGGGGTGATAACTGTGTAATTGCGCTGATTTGTGAATGTGAATTGTTAAGTAATCAATTGATCATGCCATCGCCTTCCAGTCTTCTACCACTTTAAAACGCTTCAAAAAATGCTATGATCATGTTTAATGACCATTGAACCTAAGGAAGACGAGTCAACCCTATTTCTCATGACCATTTGTTTACCAGCAATGCACATTGAAAAATGCATGCTTTACATGGTAATAAAATTTTAGGACAAATTACTCACATTTCTTCAAATTTAATATATTTTTATATATTACCATAACATCATACACCCTTATTAATAACAGAGGTCCCCTAATTTCTTATAAAGTTATATGAATAAAAAAGGTTAATGGTACAAAAAAAATGATGAAATTTTGTTAAATATAAATGTAATTTGGCCCAAATTTTATATTCATCAAGGTGATGATGATGCTTGTGACGTACCACATTGAGCAGGCAAGAGCATACGCCAAGGCCCTCCATGCAACATTGTTGTTTTCGAGTGCTACCTACAACATCAACTAAAATAAGGTCCTTCAAATTCATCACAGCAAGAAACACTTCGACCGGGATGGATAGTGGGAAGAAAGGAATCTAGCTACAGGAGAGCCAACTATAGACTTTTAATGTGTAAATTAAATGCTGAAGTGCATTTCTGTTCAAGTGCACGGTCAACCTCAATCTAAGGGCATTCGAGAGGAGTTAGTTTAGAATGAATAGAGAAACAGATCATATGCATTTCGTACTGAAGATTTTTAAATCATGATTCATTAGAAACTGTCAAAAGCGGGGAGATTTTAACCGAGGGAACAGATACCTTATTTGGTTCACAAAATATGAGAAATAAACAAATTTATCATACACATATAAGGGTGTTATAACATCTAACAACTTATCATGTAAGTTCTACAAGAACACACCTAGCCATGCTTTATTTATTGAGCAAGTAACATTGAAGAGCAGAACAAAGAGGCATGAGACGTCTGTTTTACATTGGGAAATAAGCAACAAAAAACAATTTAGTTACGTATTTTCTTCGCATAACCATCCACACCGAGAGAAAAGCTGAAACCACTGAAGGACGCTACAATGCCAAATCAGTTAAGGCGTTTGCAAACAAAAGTGGCACTACTCAAGTTTCTCTGGTTTTGGCTCTCTCTTTGGAGGATCCAAATCCAGATATGTAAATGGCTCTGTTGGTTCCTCTCTGCAACAGCCACGACATAAATGTCATAAGACAACGAAACATAAACCAAGCAGTAACTGTAAAACTTGGATGGGAAAGCGAAGACAGGGTGTGCAAATACAGGCAAAAAAATAATAGCCAAACTTCATCCTTGTAAAGGCAGTGACCCTCTGCTATATTAAAGCCTCTCCAGATTTCAAGAACTTCTAATGTTTTATTTGTTAATATTGTAAAGTACAGACATTTATACGCTATCAACAAAGAAGTATAGACACTTCAGAATAGTAGCCATGTCTAAGTCATACCTATCTCACGTATTTATATCAGATGCTTTATGAACACCTTAAACATTCGTATATGTAGTTTAATTTCTTTTTATTTTATTTTTTAAAATTTCATACATTTCCGATGAGAATATCACAATAATGGGATAAATTATAACATTCTATTATGTCTATAATGATTCATGCTCACTTTTAAAACATCAAGTTTGTCTTTCAATTTAAGATTAGTAGTTTATGTTAATTCTATACTAATTTTCTACATTGTATTAGAACCATCTCATGTCCTATAATTCTTAACAATTGCCATGTCCCCGTATCCATATTGTACTATATCCAAGTCCCATGTCATATTGGTGGTTCCGAGGTTATCTCCACATCAATAGCTATTTTGAAGTTCAATGCTAAATCAATTCACAAAAAAAAACATGATATTCCTAAATCCCAAGGGTAGATATAGATAGAATTGCATGGTAGATGATAATCTCACCCAGGCTTTGAACGCATGCACTGCCAGAAGAGCTTGAAAGGACCTGGAACTGTCTTGAATGGGTTTCCCTCAAAGCAAGCCTACAAAATGTACCACCTTCAACACTTAGTGATAACAACAGAAAGTTTACTCCAAATAAACGCATATGAAATTGCCACTACCACTATGAACAATGAGATGCCTCCCCTTCACAATCATCTCAAAGAGAAATTGCCATAAAACAAAACTAAATTCGATGAAGTGACTCGTTAAAAAAGAAATTCCCAAGTAAGATTCAAGTTACACAACAATTTCAATTGCGTCACATTTCAGTGGAAAATTAACATAAAGCATAAACACGAACTAAAACTAACGATCAGTGATCAAAACTAACGACCCAGTTGAAAAAATTGAAAATTTAAACAAAAAAACAATGGGGGTATTCTGAAATTGAATAAGAGGGGTTTGAAATCGAAATTGAGAATGGAGAAACCTACCTGAATAACATCCTCAAGACGGTCGTTGCAGCGGTGAGCTTTGGGTTCAGGGTGATTATCTCCGGTAATTCCCCATGGACTCTCTCTCCTCGGAACCGGCCTTGGCTCACTCATCTTCTTCTTCCTCCTTCACCACTCACCTCTCTCACACTCTCCTCTTTGATCGATTCCACAAAATTTCACTCCTCAGTTAAACTCAACTCATGCTGAATAACTTTACTTGGGCCGGACCTGCCGTCACCTCCCAAGAAAGCCCACTTTTCCATATTCCACTTAAATGTATTATTTACTAGTATATTTATTTTCACCAGAAAAAAATAGTATATTTATTTGTACATTGCACTAACAGTTTTAATATAAATATATCATTTTAAAACAAATATAACAATAAAAATTATGAATATAATTGTAAATTTAGTTTATAATATGTGAAATGAATTATTTTAAAATAATATAAATATTTATCTCTATAAATTATAAATTAATCATTTTTCATATAAAATTTTTATTTACTTGTTATATAAATTATTATTCTTACTTTATAGAAATTAGTATGTTTATAGGTAATGCAAATATTAATTTATTCTATCACTTATATATTAATATAATTTTTTTTTTCAAATTGATATGAATATATTTCTATAAAATAAATATAATAAAAATATCATCTTATGTAAACTATTCATCTTGTATCTTTTAAACAGTGTTGTATATCTTACAAGCAGCATTGTATCTCTTAATCAGTATAGTTGCAAGTTATTCAGGAACAAGCAAACGAAGGTCCAAACTATTGGCTCAAATAGAAGGCAAGAGGTTTTCTATTCTGACTTGAAAAAACGATGTTTTCTATTTTCATTTATTGGTTATGAGAGGTTTTGTATCTTTGATCATCGCCACATAACATGAGCTTTTTAAAAACTTTACCCACACAACTCACTAATTAGAAAAACAAAATAGTGGCATCGAATGCAATACTAATGTGGATTCTCTTAATTGTTGATTAAGCTCTTATTTCCCTAGAAATAAAATGACAAATTGAGCTTAGATAACACATAAATTAGTGGAAAATAACTAAAATTATATGAAAATAGTAATTAATTTTGACCAAAATCAAGGATTTCGCATTTATTATGTATAAATTATTGTCCAAAATTTTTCCGCTACATAAATGTACATCAAATCACATCTGTTGCCATTATTTTTGCACCTATGAATATACTATGAAAAAAAAAATTGTCATTTATTAATACATAAAAACTATCAAGTGTTAGAATACTCTTTGTTAATATAATTTTTGTCTTAAAAAACAAAATAAAGTTTTAGAAATTTATACTAATAAATTATGTTTTGTATTTACACTTAGGATGTAAATAAAGGAGCAAAACTAAGTACTTAAAGTTTAAGCTTGACTTGTAATTTTTAGTGTTATATAATATATAAATCTTTTAATTATAAAAAAATTAAGTAAAATTTACAATACTTTTTTATAATTGAGAAGGTTTAGTACCTCTCTACACATAAAATAATTGTCACAGTAAATTTTATATCAATAGATAATATAGTTAATAATTTAGTTAAAAAAACGTTAATAACTTATAATTTTGAAAAAATAATCATAACCATTAATATAAAAATAATATAAAATATTATCTCAAAAAATTAAGAATGTAAAAAAATAGTGAACTAAGCCAACCTCTTGTCCATTTGTTAAACTCATTTGTCAAACCAGCTCCCAAAAACACGTAGTGTACTACGTGTAACATGAGGTTGTCGCCAATTAAATAACCAAAAGTTAAGTTAAAATAAACTAATTTTTATATAAAAAAAACTAATTTTTCACTAACTAAATTATAAACATCTTTAATAACATTCGAACAAAAAAATCTCAGCCCATTATCTAACAGGCTCATGGTGAATAAATCTGCAAATCTCAGTTATAAAATTGACTTTTAATTTTAAGCCTATCCTATCATTTTTCTACCTGTAAAAACCATAAGTGTTGACCTATTTAAATAACTCATGACTTTTTTGTACTTCTATGGCTACCATGAAAGTGTACTGCGTACTTCTACAATAAGTTTGGTTGAGAGACCAGACAATCAACACATCATTCAAGTCTTCTCATTCATTACAGTTGTCAAAATCGTTAGGTACTCTCATGGTATATAAAATCTTAGACAAGAAAACTTATTTAATTTTAAGGTCCTGTTGATTAATGTCCTAAAAATATCATTATTACATAAATTGATAAACTATTGTATTAATAATACGATATATAATAGTAATAAATAAATTTTTTAGTATATAATGCTATTATACACTATTAATATATTGCATTATTTATTGGTATAAACTTTTATAATTTTTACTAACAATTTTTTTTTTATGTAATAAACATTATATTTAAAAATTTATTTTAATACTTGACAATTTTTTAAAATAAATTATCTATTTCCCAAAAATGTCCTTTTTGTGTTAGCCCATGAGATATATATCTTTTCCCCCGTACTTAAGTTACTTCAAAAATATATTGGAGTACAATTTCGGTTGTGTTTTTAGTTTTCATAGTTGAAGGAATTACATAACTAAGTTAAATTCGAAACATAAGATACCATAAGTTCCTAATTAGACGAAGATGAACTCATCAAGAAGTCTGTTAACAAGGAAGCCTAAACTCTCTGCAGTGCTGATTTTCTTACTCTTTTTCAAACACTTCAAACTTCTTTGTATTTTTCTTATCACAGACCTTTTGTAAGTCTCCAATTGTACTTTTATGATTTTGTTATATAAGTTCAAGCAAATGAAATGAAGTCCTTCATATTTAATCTAGAATTCCTGACGTAAAACAGTAATGAATATTAGTTTCCATCGCCTATCCAATTCCACGCATAAGCTAGCAAAAAGCAGTCTAGAGTGAATAGAAGTATTCTAATCAATTTTCAAACTTGTGCCCAATATTAATAGTGCTACCACGGTCCATAAGAACTTCTCATTGTATAGTTCAAATGGTAGATATCTTTACGTCATAAAACGAATAACAAAATCACAAACCGTGAGATATGAGTTACTGAATAAGACATGGGAAATTGGAATTTAGCAACATTCATTTCAAAACCTTAAAAAGGGTAGGTGTAGGGAGAATTTAACCACTTTGGGCCAGTGTTGCAAGCTTCCTGGCCATTACTAGCTAATGCCAGTGTTTTATCTAAAACACAAATTTGATCCATAAAAAAAAAAGAATCTAAAACACAAATAACAATAGAAGAAGGAACATAAGAAGTTACGTCTAAGCTACAGCCTAATTATCATCCAAAAGGCTAATGCTAAATATAAATATGTAGTCTTAGAAGGTGAAGAGAAGTAAGGTCTTGATTTAAGCTCTTAGCATTTACTATATCCAGGAAGTCAAATCCCGAACCTTAATCCTCTCAGCACTGTTTTGGAATGCTGAAAAGGGATCATGCAAGGTGCGCTCTTGACTTCTCCCCATCCTTTTTATAAAGCCGAAGTTCCCAACACCTTTTCTCCAAAATGCAATGCACCCCTTTATCCTTCTCCCAAACTGCATCATTGTGAGCCAAGTAAAGACACCATTAAAATCAAGAGTTAGAGAATCAGGTGCAAAATAGAAATAGAAAGAAAAAAGAGAGAGAGAAGCAATTTGAATGTAAAGTCAAATTAGTGATGTGTGACATAAGCTATTTATTATTAAAATAAATTGAAAATAACTTACAGAAGTTATAAATTATTTTTATACATAATTTCTAAACTCTTTAAAATAGATCCTAAGTACATCAGAAAACTGCCATGTATAGTGATTAGTACATAATAATCACATATTCAGTTCATGACCATGCTATATCTCACTCCCAAATTTCCAACATCAAAAGACCAACTCTCTTATAAACGAACTAAACAGTATAAATAATGAAGCAGGCATAAGGTTTTATATTGCAGCCTCAGTCACATTTAGAATTTTATAAAGAATTACAAACAAGCATCGCTAATATGACTTTTAAGACTTAATATTACGAGCACAATTGTAATTCCGGACCACAATTTGGAATCTTAGGTGTAAAGTGAAAAAAACAAAATAAAAGGGAAAATTTGTAATGCTCAGATAGGAGTTTTAATGATAATATCTGATGTTCTTACCGCACAATATTCCATCAATCTTGAAACTCAAGCAACTTCACCAGACAAAGAAGCCTTAATTCTCTCAACAGTGCAGGCAATGAGATTGTTAACAGTAGCAACAGATCCAAGAGAAAGCTTAGCGGTTGGAACTGAGTCAACTAATATTTGAAATGCAACAGTCAAGAGAGATCCACCATGTCCAGTGTCACCAATTCCCCCTCCATGCGTAGTGGTCCCATCTGGGAGTATAGCAAACCCTGAAGGAAGAAGAGCTACATAATCTGGGTCCCCTCCATTGAGAACCACGTTCATTGCCACAATATCCACAGGAGCATATATAACAAATGAGCCCGTTGTGTCGGTGCAACTCTCTTGTAATATCAACATGTTGCTTTGGCTTGAATTGGCACTCTGCACCATTGCAATACATGTCAGTCAAATTTCAGTTACTTTGACTGGAAATGAGAGAGGTGGTTTTGATGAAATTGATGAATAGTAAATGGGTTTGACTGAAAATCAACTTACATTCACCCGAAGTAGAGAGACACAATTTCCCGTATCTCGCCCATTGGCAATATGTGCCATTTCTTGGACAACTCCGCCGTTAGAAAGAATATCCCACTGTTTCCAAGGGGTTGGAAAAGTTTAATGACTCAAAATAGAAATTTTAATCAATATGAGAGATGAGGAGATATGTTAATCTACAAACACTCTGTTTTTTAATTTAAGAATTTGATATATAGCCCATTTGTTCACTTTTTATTACTTTTTTTTTCCAGAAAATGTACCAATAATATTATGTGTTTCAGTTTTTTTGTGGTGAGAATATAAACCTTCTATTTACTACATCTTTCTTATTTTTTTCGTTATTATAAAAATTAAGGTCGATTTAGAGAGCAGCAATGATGTAAATAACCAAAAGAAATATAAAATAACTCTATCTAGGATTACATACGATCATCCGTGAAAATTAATTTGTGAAAAGTCGAATGACAAAATAAAATAGAACGAAGTTTGATGGCCTTCATCATGGCACCGTCTTTGGATATTTGAAAAGGATGTACACAATTCAAAGTAATTGATATGAGACAACTTAGTGTAGAAATTTGACGTATGATGTACTAAAAACTATGACTACTTCATATGAATATTGATACATACAATAGACACCCAAATAAGCAAATTTACTAAACGAAGAGTGTCTATTAAACTATGAACACACAATAATGCAGCCTAAAACATTAGATAAGAAGGTAATCATTGGTGGCATAATTGTTGCATGTTTGAATATAAACATTACCTCACTTCTGGAGTTCTCATCGCGGAGGAATTCAAAAACTCTTTTGGGTGACACTGGAAGCCAAAATGAAGTTGCAGCACTGAGAACAATACCAGGAGGCCTTCCTGGGTCATCTACACTCTTACGGGTCATAACCCTTACATCATCAGCCCCAGTTCCAGAAAGTGTTGTCCATGTGTGAGCAGTTGAAGCACTCACTCCAGCGCAAAAGCTTATAACCATTCTTTCAGCCAGTTTTAACATACTCTTTCTCCCATCTTGGTTTGTTATCACTATGTGCATACATTAGAATGTTACAAGTTACAACATTATTCTATTTATTTAAGAAAAATTAAAATTTTGGCCCCGTAAAAAGAAAATCAATTAATGAGTATGAATGGTCATGGATACCGCCAACATCTACGGTGGGAACGTTCGTTGCCATGGCACTGGCTAGCCTTTCACATTGTCGATCTAAGGTTGCGATCCAACGTTTTGCACCAAATGCATGTCCAGAGCTAACAAGCTGTTTGTATAGATTATGAACACCTCTGTCATCCACTTCTACATTTTCAACCCATATGACCTAGGGCAAAGATTAGCTTCAAGTTAAACTCCAATGAGAATAAAAACAAATGCCAAATTCAACTACTAGGCACATCAATTCTTCAAGGATACGATATGATCCGTGATGAGGATCGAAATCATCAATCTCCTTTCTTTCTCCGTTTTAAAAATAAGAAGTTAGTAAAAGAATTTTAGCAACTAAGCACTTATAAAAAAGGAGAAATTTTATTGTTTGTGTGTTATTTTTTCATTGGGAAGGAGAGCGAAGAAGATAGATAATATCATTCCCCATGATGATATACATTCTAACCTTAGAGTAGCCATTAGGCATTTCCTGAATTAAGCAACCAGAAGGCCTTCTTCTGCATCTCGCAGAAGGACTAGGGCGCAAATTATCCAAGGAAACGTCCACTACTGCCCAAGTCCCCTCTCCGTGTTGCTTACAATATCTCACGAAATAGCTCTCTCGAGTTGGCACAAGAGGTGAAGGTACTTGTAATTCAGCAGTCATCTGCATAATAAATTGAATTGTATTTATTTATTTATTGCATTGTTAACAAGTTGTACAGTACAAAGCTGCACTATTCCTTACATAAGAAAATTAATGGATATATTTGTATAAAACATACTTACCACTTGCAATGCACCATTGTAGTTCCCCGCCACCCCAGTTGAAAGCACTTCCAGAGTCATTGCTCTTGAGACGATTCCAGAAAACACTGTGGACCATTGGTTCTTAAAAGCACAGCAGAATACGTACACATTAACATCAAACACTAGAAATCAAAATATTTAATTATTAACGTGAAATGAGAAAGTAAGAAGCCTATATACCACATCCATGAGAATCTCAACAAGGTTAATATGGTTCATGATAACAACAGCAGTTTCTCGTGAAGCTTCACACTTAAAACCCGCAGGTTTTGGGCCAATCCCTCGAGGAAAGGACCTAATGTACTCTTCCTCGTTGAGCAAAGTGGTGGTGCCATCAAGGGTAGTCAACCAAAGAGGCTCACCCATTTGTGCCATTCCAATGAGTTCCTCCATAGCTGCAACAGCGAGTTCTATTATGATTGGTTTATCAGCTTCGGTGGGTCCACTGACTGGTCTAAGAAGATCTCCAGCACCACCATATATATCTCCTCCACCAATGCCTGGTTGGCCTCCAAAACCACCAATGCCAAGTTCTAGTGGACGCGGAGGAACAGATGAAGGGGAAAGAAGTGGATAGCTTACCACAGGCTTTCCCACATACTTGGCAGCAATTGCAGAAATCCTATCAATCTGAAGATAAATGACCAATACATGAGTTAAAGAATAATCATCTTGGACTTCTAAGAAAGAGCAATGTTATTCTTTATTTTAGCAACATTTGTCATAATAAGAAAATTATAAAAAAAATACAAGATAAAAATGATGACATAATAAAAAATTATTTGTGAAAAATTAGTAAAAAAGAGAAATTAATAAAATGTCTTTTTTGTTCTAATAAATATTTGCAAATTCATAAACTTGTTTGTATTTTACTTTTATTTTTAAATATTTTTGTAAAAAACAATAAAATAGAATCTTATTTTTAAGGCGAAGTTAACTAAGACACCAGTTAAGAAATTAAAGTTTTTTATTAAAAAGCATAATAATATTTTATTTTATTTTATTTGTAATTTTTAATGCGCTCTCAACATTAAGTTATTTATTAATTACTAAACCAGCTACTTTAAAGTATCAGTTAACAAGATTTTTATAATTAATTTTTAAAATAAAATATTTTTTCTAAACAAATAGTCCTTTGTCTCATTGTCTGGTCTAAAATTGCTGCCCCAACTCCTAGATTTTCAGAAGCCCTGCAATTGCACCGCGACTGTAATGACTGCCACATTAGTCGCATGTTCACGTAATATAAAGATTTTTTGTCACTGTAACTGCAACCGTAATCACAATATAAACCCTTTTCACCAACATATCAACCATGAGCAATTCCAAAATTGTTGTACCTCTTCTCTTAGACGGGCATTTTCGAGCCTTAAGTGATGCTCATCAAATGACATTTCTCCTATAGCGGTAGGTCCACCACAATTAGGACACGAGGCATTGCTGAGAGCTTCTCTGAACCTCATGTTATCTGCTCGAAGCTTCTCATTTTCACTTCTAAGCTGTGTGTTCTCATGGCGCTCATGTTGGGTCTGTAATTACAAAACAAGACATGCATAAAAGGGTTCCTTCCAATGTTTTCATTTTTCAAAAACAAAAGAGAGAGAGAGAGAGAGAGAGAGAAATTCTACTCCTACACATATTTTCTACTAGGAAGAGATGATAGAAAAGAAAGACAAATGCGAAATAAAATAATTTTAAAAAATCGAAATCACTTATACCTTCATCTGAGTGCGTTTATTCTGGAACCAAAACTTGACCTGCAATGGCTCTAATCCTAACTCTCGACTCAGCTCCTTCCTTTGCTTGTCATCAGGATGCGGACACTCCTTAAAGAAACTGGAAAAAAATTATTGTGAAAAAAAAAAAACACTAAATTCTAATTCCTTAAAAAAATAAATAAAGGGGTTTATATTAAGAGTAGCGTACGCTTCCATTTCCTGGATCTGGTGCTGTGTGTGGCGATGGTAGCGCTTCTTCTTGGGACGAGGGTCTTGGTCTTCTCCGGAGGCACCTTCTTGGTTTTCACTACCGGACTTAGTGGCAGTGTCAAAGTCATCTTCACGAATTCTTGGGACATCGCTCTCTGAAGTGTTCTGAGGCATATCCAGTGGGTGGAGCTGACCAGCTTCCATCAAATTTGGCTGGAACATATCTACAGATCTTTAAGATTCCGAAGGCTTATGGTTTTCAATCTAACAAAAACAATACGAGGTATATAGTACAGTACACGCAAAAGCCCCAACAAAAACATCAACAACTTTTTTGTGTTTATATATATATATATATATATTGTGTTATATACGTAGATAAATAAGGGTAGTAATTGATTAGATAATTTTAATTATTTGACATAAGACTTGCAGAAAACACGGGGATTTTGACTAGGTTGATGTTTTTGAGGAAAGTTTTTAAGTAGCTTCAAACAGTGAGAAACTAAAGGAATAACGCGGTTTTCGAATAACGAGAAGGGTACAAGATAGAGTTGGGTTCTCTTCACACTGAGACCAGTTTTGACTCGTGAAAAAACAAGGCCTTTTTTAAAGATAAAGTCAAATACAGCAAACCGAACACATCAATCAAATTAGCATCAGAATCAGAACCAGAATTATGACAAAAATGGGGGAAATTCGATAGATGAAGAAGAAGAAAAAGAAAGAGAGATGAACCCAAGCTTCGTCACTGACCTGGCCAAGAGAGAGCCCAGAAGATAATCCAAAGCCACCAACGTTTCCGTTTCTTCCAATCATCGAAGGCATGTTTCTTGCTGGAATCATAATACCAGCTGGCATATTTCAGTGTAGATATGGTGGATTCAAATTCAATTCCTCTCTTTCTTCCTCTATTGTATCCAGGGTTGAGTGGATTTCCTGAGATCGAGTTCTTAGAATAATTCTGTCGGTGTTGCAATAAGGCTAATGCGTCCGTCACTTCAAAAAGAAAACATATGCAACATGAAAACTCAGGCACAAAAACGTGACCTCGCATGTAGTAATAAAAGAAAAAAGTGGACTAATTAAAATGCACCGTGTATATGGCATATCAAAATGCAAAGAATAAAGAGTTGGCCAATTTCTGATGCTGCAAAGCAGCACTAGCAGAATCAGAAAGTGAAAATGAAAAGAAAAAAAAAACAAGGTCCTTGAAGTCCTTGAGGAATCCAACTAATTAAGCTGCTTGTTTTTCCGTACATGTATATGGAAAACCTACCGTTCCTTTAACATTCTAGCAACCCTAGCTATATGCACCAAGAAAAGAGTGAGAATTTTAAAAAAATTGTCAAATGGTATTTTTCGTTTTGCAAAAAATCAATGATCTTAAGGCTGTGCGAATGATACATCATGTATGGAATCAACTTGTGCCAAGACTTTTCCACTCACCAGTGGGTGGTAGTTGCTGGAGATGATAGCTAGAAGGAGATAAATATTTAGATCTGCTTTGGGGCTAAACTTGTTGCCAAAAAAAGTACCCTTTTCAAAGATGCAAATGAAAAAAGAAGGCTTTCAATCAGTTACGGAAATAAAGTTGCTTACATGGTGTACAGCAAAAGCTTGATGTGTGTTATGATGGTCTAACCCAAGGAAAAAAAGCTTAGTTAACATGGAGGGAGTAGAAAGAAGAGGACGGAGAAGGAGAAAGGACAAAGGAATTGAAGGAGAAAAGAAAAGGAGGAGAAAGAGGAACGGATGGAGAAAAATGTGGCAGCGATGAGTTATTGCTGTGCGTATTGAGATGGTGCAATTGCATTTAATGGTAGGCGAAAGAGGTGTAATTGCTAGTGAGAGAGAGAGAGTGAGAAAGAGAAAGAGAGAGACATTTTTCTTTTGTGTAATTTTTTGCCCTTGGGAGAGTTGATAGTGCAACGAATGACGGCTACCAAACTCCTATCTATTGCTTCCATACCATACTGAATTTACTTATTCACTTACTCTACCACCATCACATGTACTGTAACTATTTATTCTTATCACCGGGAAGTTTTATTTTCTCAAAAACATCACACATCTACGTTATAATGTAAGCATACATGATATTTATGAATGGATGATGAAACATTCATTTTCGGAATATTGTAAGCATTTTTATTTCATGAATAAGTCTATTGACGTGTGAACAAAGAGATTTAATTAGCTAGTCTTGACTTTTTTTATTTTCTCTAGGCCATAAATATTTTTATAAAAAAATAACCTTATTTGAATTATGAATGTTTACAATATAATAGTATTAAAAAATTTTAATAAATTTTTTCTATACATAAAATATTCAAAATTAAATGTTCTTAAAAAGAATTGAGTATTTATTACTTGAATCAGGCATCCCCTAAATAATTAGTCTTGACTTTGAAAACCCATCCAAGGAAATTTGTTGAATTTGTTAGCCTATTTCTATGCTACATTGAAAAGTTGGACATACAAAAGATACAATTAATGGTAAAATGCTACTAGTACGCGCGTAATTATTAGTTTTTGGGGGTTGAAAATAGGCACATTTGTATATGTTATTATAACAAATTGAATCGTATAATTTTCGTAGCCTTATTGCCTTGGCCATTCTTCATTCCCTTTCTACATTCTGAAGCCACGTTATTGCATTTTTCATAATATCCACAGAAACGTGTGTCAAGGATTTATCTTTTGATACAAGTCTAATACATACATAGGGCTTTCGACCATGTTAAATTTGTAATTACATAACATGCTCATCATCATTATTGTCTTGCACGTTATCATTCCAAGTGTATTGCGAGATAAATGGCCCTTTATAGTAGTATCCTTTCCTCTCTTTCTTTCGTGAGGGGCAATCATCGGTTGCAATACATGAACTGTATATCAAGGACGATGGTGTCAAATATCCTCATACTGAAAACCTGTGAATCAACAGTGTTGCAAAACGAGTACTGAGGAAATAAGTAACTTATCAATGGTGGGCTTGTAATTTTCACACCTTCATGTGGTCTTCATTTTATTTCCTCTAGGACCATGGTCCATGAGTTAGTAATTTGTCAATGCATGTGTTATTTGCATTACATCATCCATTTTAACGCCAATGAGGAATACCTCGATTATACGTTTGATTCTCGATTCCCATGATACGTTGAAACTACATCATGACATCACATATATTCTCACCGATGTTCCTTACCTTTCTTAGACTTCATGCTCTTTTATTTGCCTTTAGTTGGTGGTAACTATTTTTTAACGAGAAAATATTGTTTGTACTATTAATAATAGATACTGCTAAATGTATTTTAATATATGTTTTTTAAATGAATGTATAAAAATGATAATATACAGTGTTATATTTAATTTTATTAATTCAAATAACAAAATTGTTTTCCAAAAAGAATTGGATCGTATAAAGTACATAGTCAATGTATGTATACATATTATATACAGAATTTCTTGTAGTACAGAGTGTGTGTGCATTGAAACGAAAAATATTTGGTGAAATAAATGAACCAAACAACAGTGATCATTAATAACGATTTTGGTATTAATTATAACTCTTTCAAGATACAATATCATTGTCGAGATTAAAGAGGAAACACATTTGTATAATGTATTTAGCGCTTGCATAATTGCTAAACATACACATGTATACTATGCATTTATTAGAAAGGAGAAAGTTGAAAATTCAAGATAATAAAAAATAGGGAAACATGCATGACGCCCGCTTGTGGCGCTAAAATCAGTGAAAGCGTCCTCCAATTTATGAATATTCTTTAAGTGGTAAAATTACATACATACGTATACATGATGTATACATAATTAACCTCCTTAATAAAATTTGAAGTTATTTTAAAAAAAAAAGTAATATTATTTTATCAGTTAATTTAGAAGATAAGAACAACATTAATTATTTTTTAAAAAAGTTATATATTTTTTCTTTATCCACGTAATAAATTAAAAAAAAAAACTAAATAAAAGAATAATAGAGTCAAACTCAAACACAATTATATTTCCTATAACTAAAAGCATGTTGGTAACGCTAGCACATCCAAGGATAAACGTGTTCGTCACATAGGGCATATATAGGATCAACAGTCCCTAATATCATTTGGCACGGAAACCAAATAACAAATATTATATCCGCATGATTATTTTACTATTTGTTAATTTTTCTATTTGAACAAAAAAAAAAGGTGAGTAGCAACGGGAACAAATAAAAACACAACGAAAAGGTAAAAATTCAAAGTGAATTCACTAATAATTATCTAAAGTTTTTGGGGGTTTTCACTTGCAATTGATAAAAATTTACTAATAGAAAAAGAGTTTTGATTTATCTACAAAAGTCAACATTCTCTTTCAATGTTATAATTAATCACGTATTCATAATAATTACCATATATAAAATTCTTATAAATTGTCTTGCTTGGTCCATTAAAAAAACCAAGAGAAATCCACAATTAGGACACTATATATCTCAACTTAATTCGTTAATTGGTTTGATATATAAAAAAAAAAAAGAAGTAAGGTTATGAAGTTGTCAATTGAGCCTAACTTAATTTGATCTATAATTCAATAGTTAATCATACTACGATCGTCAGTCATTTATCTAAGCCTATTATATAAGAATGATAAAATCCTTACTATATCAATCAACCAAATCGGAAAAAAAATAAAAATAAACTAAACTAATCAAAGGCAAATGTAAATATATATTAGACTTAGGGAAACTTATAGAGAGAGAGAACTATCATACCAATGATTAAGAGATGGAAACTTTTTTTGAGTTATTAGTTTATTACTTTTCGATTACACGAAAAAAAAAAAGAAACATACTATTTCTATCCCAATATTCTCATTATTATTTTTTAATCTAAAATCTTAGATGTATCGTCTAAGAAGATACAAAATAAAATTATATTTAAGGGTAAAATTCAATAAAATAGTTAATAATTTTTAAAAAATTTATCAATTATCAATTCAACCTTCTAAGAGACAAATTTTTGTATACACAAAATTAAAATCTAAGATATTTAACAAAATAAAATTAAATCAAAGCATCCACCGTCCAAACTAATCACTCGTTTATTACTCTTCTCATATATCCTATGAAGCTTCATCTTTCTACACAAAAAAAATATAGTTAAAAAAAATCAATATTACTACCTCTTAGTAAATTCTCGTACATCCTCACGTTACAAAACACTTATTAAATTAAAATAATATCATTTAATATCCCAAAAGTATGTGTGTATCTATCTGTATGCTAGTTTCAATATCAATTTTAATTAATTAATTTTTCTTAATAACAAAATATTAAGCAGAGTAAGTGAACTTATTATTGTAGCCAATAAATTCCTTTCTATATATACCATACAATTTTTTGAAGGTGTGTCTAAGGATACAAATATAAAACTATATATAATAAATTTTTATTAAAAAATATAAGTTTAAATAAACTAATAACAATAAATGCTATAATTTTAATAAAATTTAATATTTATTTGTTTATTTTATTGTGCCCAATGATACAATTAAAAAAATCATATAAAATAACTTTAAATTATATTATCTTTTTATAAATTTTACTGAAGGAAAAACTTTTTTTATCCTCCTACCTATCCATTTAGTTTTTATTTTATTTTACTATTTTATAACAAAACTAAATAAATAAAGTGCATATTTTAATTATCTTCAATGCATTTAAAATATTTTTTACTATTTAAACAATCAATGCATTTAATGTTTTTTCAATTATCATTTTTATTAAATGATATGACAAATATTATAAAGATATAAAACAATGGTCTATCAATTAAATATAAAAAGAATTTTTATTTTCATAATTTTTTTAACATATGTATTTTATGGATACAATCTATATAACAAAAAGAAAACTTTGGTTACGGTGTAAAAAATTTACTTAAACTTTTTTTATAATATAATATAATTAATATAAAATATTCTATCTCATGTTATAAATTTTTATGTTAAAATCTAATATAAAATCTTCATTTCAAGGGTTTTAACAAGTATGTATGCTTTTAAATTATCTGTGTTATAGTTAGTAAGAATATTATATTATTTCTCAATATTTAATATTTATTTGTAAAAAAACATATTTTTGTTATAAATATATTTTTTATGTTTTACTAAATTTTTTATAATAATATATCTTTTATTAAAATTTTAAATATATAACTTAACATGCTCTATACTTTTAATGGGTGAGAAGCTAGTTAGTTAAAATATTACTCGAAAGTAAAAAAATATTAAATAAAAATATAAAAAAAATACATCAAATTTTCTAAACACTCATTGTTTTCAATGTTTCTCTCATTATAAATTTCATAAAGATACATGTATGAAAGGAACAATCAATGCATTTAATGTTTTAAGAATATTAAAAGCTTTTAATATAATATTAATAAAAAATATTGCCTAAGAGGATTTTTTATCAATATAATACTATTGCATATTTAAAATCTACAAAACAATTTAATGCTCTTCTTAATTCTAAATTTTTCTTAAAGAATGTGAGATAAAATAGGAAGGTATAAAAGTATGGTTCTGTTGACTATCATTATATGGTTATTAGTTAAAATATTAATTAAAATTAAAAACATTAAATAAAAATTCGTAATTTAATACATCAATATTTCAAAACATTTATTATTTTCAACATTTCCTTCATTGTAATTTTTATTTTAAATTTATTATTTATTGTTTTTTTATTGTCTATTATTTTTGGACAAACACATTCAAAAATTATACAC